ATTTCTGGGCCTCATCCTCCGGAAATTCTGTTTCTTTGTTATGGGGTGAGGCCACAACAGTAACAAAGAAACAGAATTTCCGGAGGATGAGGCCCAGAAATCAGGATTTTAAAAAGATTCCCAGGTGATTCGAATGTGCAGCCAAGGTTGAGAACCGCTGCCTTAGATCACTTCCTAAAATAAGCCACCTGCATGCAGCTATCCCAGGCGCTGCTGCTGAGGAACACCACGCTCACCAAAACCCTAGTTTGAAAAGGCTCTGTGATTTTTAAAGAGGGGACTTGAGCCTTTTCCTGCCTCAAGCCGGAGCAGCTGTATCCCGCAGAGCAAGGAGGGGGAGGCTGGAGACCTCAGAGGCCCACAGTGGCCCAGAACGTTCCAGGCTGTCCCTACGCCGGCAGTCCCTGCTCAGGCTCACGCAGCCGTGCAGGGCTGTTCTGAGAACAAAGTATGTCTTGTCCAAAAAGGAATTTAAGGTCCTCGGGGAGATGTTGGGCAAGAGAAGAAAAGCTACAGAAACGAGGCTTGTTTAGCCTGGAGAAGAGTGAAGCAAATGCCTCGTAACTGGTTCCTAAGGATCAGAGGCTGCTTCTCCGTGTTTGCTGATATCAGGAAGGAGGCACCCAAGCGGCGGTTTGCCCATCGGATGCTGCCACGGGAGAGATGGCAACCCCGGGCGAAGTGATGAGCTTCCTCATTCTGCTCATGATGGGTGGGCCAACTTACTGGGGATAATGTGGGTGGGAATCACTCATTGTAGGAGTTTTAAAGGTTGTTCCTTCTCTAGTCCCCTCTTTAAAAATCACAGAGCCTTTTCAAACTAGGGTTTTGGTAGGATGGGTCTGCCTCAAAAGAGGGAATATTAATTGATCGGTAACCCTGTAAATCCCCCACACAAATGAATTGTATTTTAGTTCTGATATTTTTCCAGAGCAGGCCGTTTTCTCATGAGGTCTTGGCACCACCTAGTGGTTAATTTGTGCATTACACCATATGCCTGTGCTTAAAATCGTATTGCACTGTTTTTTTCATACAAACACCAACAAACTTGATTCATGCACCAACAAGTATACATTAAACACCAGTTATGGGGCAGGCACTGTGCTAGGACCTGAGGAACAACAGTGATCAAATAAGACACAGTCTCCCCTTCAGAAGCTCACAGCCTAATAGAATGGACAAGTAACAACCAAAGCATTGCGATCTGTTGTGATGTCATCAGGAAACAGACCCCTGGTGATGGAAAATAAGGTAGGCAGGAGCCTCTCTGGGAAACATAAAGTTAAGCTGGGAAGGATGGGGTGGGAGGGAACAGGTGTGCAGGAAGTGGCGGGGGGACACGAGAACATTCCATGAAGGCAGAGCAAGGCTGCTGCCAAGTGGTGGGGGCCCCAAAGCCGGGCCAGCGTGTCCCAGCGGTGGGTGAGGCTGAGGGTCGCAATGGGATGGGCGGGGTCCACGTCTGCAAACATCTCCTTTTGTGAAAGCACAGGGGTGGGTTCTCCCACAACAGGACCTGGTTACATTTTAATTTTTAACAAGACAGAGAAGGGAGACGCGGTACGTGAACTTGGCTGTTTTTTCAGACCCGCAGGACCCTATCCATTCATCAGTGACAGCGACGTGCCCACTCAAGAGGCCTACACCTGTTCTGCCCTGGGGGCTCCCGGTGACCGACACGTTTCTGTGTCCTTGGCTCATGACACTGGAACCTCAGACTAAACGCCGAGAGCCGAGGTTCTCAGCTCAGACTGGGAGCTCTCAGGAATCCCAGTGTCCGGGCCACACCCCTGACCAGTTAAATCAGCATCCTTGGTAGGGATGGGGGGGGGGGGGAGCACCTGGGCTCCAGGCTGGGAAAGGGCCCAGGTGATCAGCCAAGGTTAGCAGTAGCCAATCTGGAAGGACACTCCCCCAGAGCAAACAGACAGGCCTCACTTTGTATTCCCCAGCAGTCAGGGTCCTGCAAGTACTGAGCCAGGCCGTGGGCGTGTGCAAGCCAGGCCTCTTTCCCAGGTGCAAGTCCCTGCTCTGACCAGCGGCCCTGGCCGGTGCTCTCATGCAGTCCCACCTGGCTGCTTCACAACAGACCCGTGAGCCGGCCCAACCACACGAGGGTTGCAACGTTTCCCTGGCCTCGTTCCTCAGTCACAGTTTCCCAAGTGCAGGGGCCTCTTCAAGCCGCAGGCCCCAGCCCAGGCCCCAGACGTCAGAACAGCCTGGGAGCTTCTAATACTGAGCCAAGACTCATGGGAAGCTTGGGTATCAGGTGAATCCCATGTGCAGCCAGGAACGGAAGCCACTGCTTTGTAAGGAAAGACTGCACCTGTGGGCCTCCGGGTTCCGGGGTGACCGGGATCGGGAGTGCGTAACTGGGACCGCTGCTCCGAGTGACCGCCGCTGCTAGTCTTTGTCGCCTTCTACCATCTGCTGGGCAGCCCAGAGCTGGGCCGGCTTCTGGGCTCCCCGGGCCTCCGACCGGCTGACCATAGTGCATCCGTTAAGGCTCTATGGAGTCCATCCGGCCACCACTGCCCACCTCACCTCCCCTCCCCTCCCACTGGCCAGGGAGAAGGCACTCACCTTGGGCGCGCAGCAGGCAAGACAGCAACGCTCCGTGGAGTGCCAGGCGCGCCTGCCGACTTCCTGTTTCCGATAGAGGGAGCGTGAACATTAGGGTCCCGCCCGCCAATCAAGCTCCACGAGGAACTGGCCACAGGCACTCGGGCTGCACGTGTGCGCGTAGGTGTTTATATGAGCGATTGCTGATGCTGTTTTTCTTAAAAGGAAACGACAAACCACACATCTCCAAGCCTAGAAGGGTGTGGACCAGAAAGGTACGGCGGTTACCAGGTGACGCAAGTTGTTATTGTTGGGAAGGTGGTGGGAACTCAGGGTGGAGCGGATCTCCGGGAGCTCAGCTCACTGCCTGCTCCTCGGGTCGCTTCCTGATTTCGTGAACTTGGCCATCGCACCCTCGACAAGAGGGCGGGCCGTGCTGTACTTATCCGGTAGCTCAGTGGGCATCTAGCGAGATCAAAAGAAACACATTCCATGAAACTAATGTCCTCTGGACAACAGCGATGCAAAAAGGTAGAAAGAGCCCTGGCCGGTTTGGCTCAGTGGATAGAGCGTCGGCCTGTGGACTGAAGGGTCCCCGGTTCGATTCCGGTCGAGGGCATGTGCCTTGGTTGTGGGCACATCCCCAGTGGGAGGTGTGCAGGAGACAGCTGATTGATGTTTCTCTCCCATCGATGTTTCTTAACTCTCTATCCTTCTCCCTTCCTCTCTGTAAAAAATCAATAAGATATATTTTTAGAAAGAAAAAAAGCAAGCAAGCGGAAAGGGGTGTCTGGGAAAGACATTTCCTTCCTGCAGGGACCTGCAGAGCCTCATAGATGAACAGTAAGTGAATCGGCAGAGAGCTCCCCCCATTTTTCCCAGGGACATGCTTTGGGAAGGGCTCGTCTGCCTTTCGGCGCGGTCTGACCTCCCCCCGCAGAGCAGAGCGTGGCTGTGGCCTGTGAGGAGGGCGGGCGGCAGGGTGCATGACTCAGCACAAGCAGACTGGCTGGCACGGGCGCCAGGCACAGACCACGTGGCTGAGAGCCTAGAGGACAAATGGGGGACAATCCAGTAAATATTCACAACCAGACATCGGGTGACATCTTAATGTATTGTTTACAGACACCACCGAGTTAGACTGTTTTCAGGTCTCATTGGGGTTGGACACAAGTACCTGGAGAGGCCTGGTGAGAGGGGAAACCCAGGCGTCTCATTGGCTACTGCAGCCCTCTGTGTCCCTCCCCAGCCCATCACCCTGCAGGAGCCGGTGCCAGATGCTACAGCAAGAACCCGTTTGCAGGAAATAGCGCCCGACTGGACAATTTAGGTTTTAAAGACTATCGCCCTCAAGCTCTCCTGGGCACCCAGGGCAGGGCAGTAAGGGACTGGGGGTGAGAGACACACGTGGCGACTGGAAGTTCACGAGCACCTCGTTTCTCACAGGTGGAAACAAGCGGCGACGCCCCCACGATCCCCGTGGGCCAGGACGAGGCCTCCTCGCTGCCCTGCTCAGTGTCAGGCGGCCGGGCGTCTGCACGGCTGTGTACCGGCAGCGGATCGCTGTGGTCGCCGCCCCCTGGAGGTGAGCGTCACGCCGTAGGCCACGGTTACAAAGCCCGTTCCTGAGGACACGGGTCCTACCCCGTGCTCCTTGCAAAAGGAGTTTGGGATCAGAAAGATTTAGAAAACACGATGGACCATACCCTGGAGATTCACAGTGTCCATTATCACATGGGAGGTTCCAGGAGTCCTTTAAAAAGAAATGCTTAACTGTGTTCACCCCAGTTTCCCCAATCTGACCTTGGAATCTCTCACTCTTTTGGGGGAGGGGGGGGAGGCGGGGGTTTGACACATTTCATAGAACATATTTTTAAAATGCTCTTCTATGGCTTTGCAGAAGCAAAAGAGCCCAGAAAAATTAAGTAGCCTTGAGGACCCCGCGCTGGTCAGCAATGCAGAGGCTGCGTGATGAAATCAGACCACCCCTGCACTCCACCCCAACCCGCTCACAACCCGGGCCACCTGCAAAGGGGCAGCAACACATTCTCCACGGCGTCCTCCTTCGGGGAGCCAGCGTGAGGCACGCTGATCACAGCGCGGACCTGCACCAGGCCAGACGGGGCGCCGCACCTCACGGCAGAGGCCAGATGTTGGTAGCCTTTGCCTCTCCTGCAACAATCAAATCATCAAACCACCACCCTGCCTACCACACGGCGACAAGGTTTCTAAACAGACCCGAAAGCCCTTGGATCCCCATGAAAATGGGGGCGAGGAAAAATAAAGCTTCTAACTGTTTCCAGCAAGAACGACACAGACCAAGAAATCGTAATAGAAATATGTGCCGCATATTCCAAGGCCCTACAGCAGGGACAGAGGAGGATGGAAATCAGTGAGGTGACTGGAATGACGTAAACATCTCATCCATCTCATCCACGTGCATGATGCATCTTTTTTTTTTATTATTCTCGTTTCCAAGCAGTTTCACATGACATTTCAAAACAGAAGACGGCTCAAACCAAACTTTCCAGCTGTGGGACCAGGCAGACGGGACCGTCTGTCCCCTGCAAGGACGCACGCCCGCCTTCACACCTCCACCGTGACCCTCGCGAGCCGGTACTGCGGGGAGGCGGGCGGCCGCAGCAGCACCAGGCCCCTCTCGGCGGCGGCCTGGCCGGCCAGCATGTCCAGCAGGCCCGTCAAGCTAACGAAGCCCAGGGCTTCCCCACCGCCGACAGCCATGGAGAAGTCTCCCTGGGTGACGAAGCCCAGGAGGACTCTGGAGCAGTGAGCGGTCACGTTGGGGAGCGGGCCTGGCCACAGGCCCAGGGTCGGAGCCGGGGGCCCTGCTGCAGGGTCCCCCTCTGCCAGGCCCCCCAAGGCAGCACGCCCGAGGTGCCGCCTCTTCTCTCGGGTCTGCCTCTCCTTCTGTTTCCGGATCTGGCTCTTGAACGGGTCGCTGTGCTTGGGTTCCTGGGGCCCGCAGTACAGCCGATCCCGGCGGAGCTGCAGGAGGTCCTCCTGGGCTGGGACACAGATCATGGCGTGCGGCTCGGGGCTGCCCTTCCCGGGCAGGGACAGGCTGACCCACACCAGGGCCCTGGGGAAGCGGGCCAGGAGGGACCGGCGGGCCTCTGCGGTCAGTTCTTGCTGCCCCCTGCCGGGAGCTCGCCGGGCCGCCGCCCGACTGTCCCCAGAACTGGGCCGGCACCAGGCTGACAGCTGCTTCAGCGATGCTCTACTCCTACACGTTTGAGGGTATTTTGTTCAAGGAGAAAATATGCAATTAGAAGATTAGGGATAGCGAGAGTTCATTTAATTTTTATACTCTGTGGGAAAGCATCAAAACTCCATTAAGGTTTCTAAGAAATTAAAAATTGACATTAATGCCTTTTTGTATTCAGGTTTTACTTTTTATGTGTCTACTGTTCTGCGAAAGACTAAAGGTTTAAGAAGTTGAAGGCAGAGAAAAATAAGACAGTGGGGTAGAATCTAAGGCTGTAATCACAGTGAGAGGATTAAGGAGGAACTGATATTTTGATTAAAAAGAAACTCTAAGGGCCCTAGCCGGTTTGGCTGTGGATAGAGCGTCGGCCTGCGGACTGAAGGGTCCCGGTTCGATTCTGGTCAGGGGCACATGCCCGGGTTGCGGGCTCAATCCCCAGTAGGGGGCATGTAGGAGGCAGCCAATCAATGATTCTCTCTCACCATTGATGTTTCTATCTCTCTCTCCTTCTCCCTTCCTCTCTGAAATCAATTAAAAATATTTTTTTAAAAAAGAATTCTAAAGAAGTTACATGGGAAAAAAGTATAAGGCAAGAGTGGTAAGTGCTTCTTATAAAAATCAGAGCAATAAATAAATAAATAAATATCCGAATAAAGGGTAACTGATAAGCAAAATCTAATGCCTGCAGCAGGACTGAGTAGAACACATGTTATCGTCTGTGATATGACAAAATCACAATGAATCGGTACCTAATCGGCCACAAATTCAGATCATCCAAAAGGAATGACAAGAAATCGAATTCAGTGATTTAAAGCGAACAGTGCTCGCTCGGAGTTTGCCGGGGTCGTCACCTCACACACTCGCGAAAGTACTGCTCTGTGAGCAGACTAACTGAAACATGTCGGTAGAAGAGAACTCTTGGTCTGGGTCTATGGATGATAATTTTTCAAATCAGTTCGTAAGTTAGCATCTAATGTAATGTGGCCATTTCCATGGGGTCTTTCTGAGTCCAAAACTTCACTTGGGCCTTGCATCAAGGAACAGTGGTTACGTTTACACCTGTAGCCTGGATGGTATTAAAAGAGAATGAACCTAGAACATATCCGGAAGGTGTGTGCACTCACCTGAGAACGCAGAGGAGCTGGCCACGGGCATCCTGGCCCGATACCTGCTCAGTCCCGGCCTGGGCTGGACACTCTGTGTCCATCGCTCCCTCGGGCTCACTGGAGTCGTGCAGGGCTGTGCCCCCTGCACCAGACCCCTGAGCAGCTTGTCCAGGCGTGGGAGCACAGGGCGCCTGGTCTCTCGAGTCGCTCTCCCCACCACTCGGGGAGGAAGCTCCGGACAGTTCCTCTTGGGCCCGGACTCTCGATTCCCAGTCTCGGGTTAACTGCTCCCAGGGCAGACAGAACGGCGCCAGAGTGCCCAGCTTTACGTAGTTGGGCCGTTTTGCAGGAGGGCGTCTAATGAAAACCGAAGAGGAGAGCCAATTCTGAATAATTTAGGATGGGGGCGATTAAAATAACTATAGCCACTGTACTATATCTCTATTTAAGAAAACATAGAAAAGAAAGTTTTCTAAGAAATATCATCTATATATATAAAAGCCTAAGCAACCATTACAATGACCAGTCGACCATTCGCTATGATGTGCACTGACCACCAGGGGACAGACGCTCATCGATGTTTCTAACTCTCTATCCCTCTCCCTTCCTCTCTGTAAAAAATCAATAAAATATATTTAAAAAAAATACTCCAGTGTATAAAGTATTTTTTTATGTTTTCGTAGTTTCACTGAAATTTCAGATGTATTATCTCTATAATCAGTTATAAAAAACTCAATTTCCGTTTTGAGGGGGGCAGGGCTGGGAGTGGGAACTCATGTCCACAGTGTAGGTGTCCACCACCATCCACGTAAGCAAATGACCACGGAAAGGGTTCACGCTCTGGATGGGCCTAGAAACACCCGACGTGAGACAGTCTCCTGACTGACTTGTGTCTCGGTAACGCTGAACTCAAGGAAAAGCCTACGAAAACTCCACATTATATAGTGAGAGTTACCGAAGCCACTGCCAACGTTATGGGCCACTGTGAGTAGGCACTTCTCTTCCTCTGAAGGCACCACCAACCTCGAGAAGGCAGCTTCTCACCTTTTATACTTTTCAAGAAGATTCTTGGCTTGTTCTTCAGCAAAGAGAATGCCAGCAGAGCAGTCTGGGAAATCCCCCGGGATGGAAGGCGACCTTTTATACTGGGAATGCACCGCAGTCTCTTTTAATCCTCCCACCCGTGCACCTCGATAGATCTGAAAGAAATGTATATGTTAAAATAAATCATTAAAAATTTAAACTATCAGGCCACTCTTAAAACCTCAAATATTCACAATATGTCAGCACCACTCTTATTAATAACACCCAGGCTCCAGGGACCTTATGAAGTATCTTGTATCAGGAATTTGGCTCAGAGGGCAGAAAAATAGCCTCAGTTTCTAAGGCGTGCGTCAAGTCTGGAACATTCTCAGCCCTGGGTATTGATTAGGGATGGACTTTAAAGGTCGCAACTCTTGGTCGGAATAAAAAAGCCACTTACAAATGGAATCCAGAAAGCCATGCCCCAGGCCTTGGGAAGCAGCACGTCCCAGCCACTTCCCCAGCCGCGTTGGCCGTCGCCGGTCACTCTTCCCGGCTGGTGAATCAAAAGCAGAGGGATCTTGGACTCGCGGGGACCTAAAACCAGCTGTGACCCAGGCACCAGCAATTCACTTCTCTTCCGGTTTAAGTCCTACAATGGGAGAAAATCATTCAAGACAAACAACCCTAGTCTTCTGGGAGATGTTACCTGCCCTTTTAAAACGCAAGAAAAAAACATACATGTAAGCTATTTTAAGCACAAAGTAGTCCCTCCTACGACGATTTTCCTTTATATAATGTTTCGGTAGAAATGGCAAATTACCTTAAATATGGGCAAGAATATACTAGAGGATTCAAAGTTATAAAATACACATGCATTCCACTAATTTCTTATCTCAGGGTTAATCTTATATTTTGATACTCTGTCCCTACATTTACTTTGGTTAAGATTTGTCATGAAGTGAAAAAAAAAAGGCACAATTAACAACTTCTCCCTTGAGAAAATTCTCACCCAGTCTTAAGGATCCAAAATAGAAGGTGCCCACCCCGCCCCCCCCCAAATGTGAAATAGAAGGTGCTGTAAATTATTTGTCAAGTAGACTGCAGGGAGTTGCTAACATTCTTCCAGACTTTTCTTGCCAGCTATTCAAAGAGATGGAAGGGGAGGGAGAGTCCTCCCAACTCACTCAACTGAGAAACTATCCGAGGGCGGCCTCCACGCTACATCTAACTGCCGCCCCAGGATGCCTTCACGCCAGGACCAGATCCCGAGTCTCCTTCTTCACTTTTCTCTCTCTCCTTCCCGAGTTTCCTCTACCATCTACCTGTTGGTAATTCCAAAAATCTCTCTCTTTCACCCTGACTTTGGCTCCTGGGATCAAAACCTCTGTCCTGGAAGTCCCGAGGCCCCTCAAACTCAATTATCCAAGATGACACTCGTCCTTCCCACTGCATTCGCTCCCGCCATCTGATGCCACGATGCTCACAGTTTGTCCCCTCATTCATTCACCCGTGCAAACATTTACTGGTCATTCATTTACTCTTTCATTCGAATATGCCCTGAGCACCTGCCATGTGCCGAACGCTTTCCCGGGACTCGGGATACAGCTGGGACGGGTCAGGCCTGGCTCGGGCTCTTAGCTGAGCTCCCAAACCCAAACCAGACCGTCTCCTCCTTTCTCACCACCCACCTTCCAATGAACCACTGAGTCTTGCCAATTTTACCCTCCAGGTAAATACACATTTGTGGCCCTGCACTCCAGGCACGGCCACAAATCAGGCCCCCATCGTGCCCTACATTATGGGCTATTTCCAGGGTCTCTTTTAAGGCCATCCAATCACAAGCCCTCTCTCCGGCTCCTCCACCCACATCCCCACCCCTAGTCTCCTCCACCCTCCCCTGTGCTGCTGGAGGGAAATGTCATCATGTCACGGCCCAGCTTAACACTTTCCATGGCACCCTCTGTCTTCGGTCCAGATCCCTGAAGTGCCCCCAGGTCTTCTATGCTCTGGTCCTATTCCCTCTTCAGTTTCATCTCTGAGTCCAAGCTACTCATCTATTTGAAGATTCCTGAACACACGGTCCTGAACTGGGCCTGGGCCCCTGCTCATTCTCACTTCCAGCAATCCTTCCTCTACTGCAGCCTCGGCCCCCGGCCCCCAAAGGTCTGGTTGATTCTAACAGCCCACCTGAGGGTCAGCGCAAACACCAGCCCTCCGTCCAGGACGCTTCCCCTGATTTCTAGAGTCTGGGCTTAGTCTCCCTTCTTTGGGCTTCCTTTGTGGCCTGTACTTCTTGAGTGTATCTAACAGTCATCGACCCCATCACCTGATACAATACCTGTAGGAGCACAGTCACTGGGTAATTAAAGACCGGAGAACAAATAAAGCAACAAAAACAGAGAACACTTAATGGGGGAGAAAAAAAAAACACAATAAAAGAAAGACATGTATTTAAATCCTAAGATTATCATTTCAAGAAAAAGTCTTTATGTTAACTTTTTCTAGGGATTCTTCTTCTTTAAGAACAGAAAATAAACAAAAAAACAACCAAAGTATTTATCATAAGGGACCAGTAAATTGTCTGAAAATAAAGGGAAGTCTATGGGACCTTATAGAGTACAAAGCAACCTTTACGTTCTCTCGAGTGACGAACTTCAACCTGTCTTCATGACTTTACCAACAACCCTTACACCATTAGTTACCTGATCCGACATTTTATTCTCTGTGACACTCTTACAGATAGCTTGGCTCCAAATAAAGCTATGCGCACACTCCACGGGCACACCCTCCAGACGCAGCTGTCTAACTTCCTCATTATCTGAGAGGGAAAAGAAAGAGCCTTCAAACCACATCCTCGAGGTCAGTGAAGTCAAAGTCTAAACGTGGCCCATTGTTACAAGAAAATATCTGACAGGCACTTACTTCTCTAGAAGAATACACTTGACTAGAAATTATTCTTACAGTTGGTTTCATCATCTGTGAAGTAGCAAAGGCTCCTACACTTATTTTTTGAACATTTATGTTTAGTGGAGAAGATATAAACATCACATACAATTGCCTTTAAATACCCGCCTAATTCCACAGTTAGGATGATTGAAGCATATGAACCACTGCAGAGGCAAACGATAATACGCAATGACAGCACAAGTCATGTTCTTTTTTTTTTTTTTAATACATTTTTATTGCTTTCAGAGAGGAAGGGAGAGGGAGAGATAGAAACATCAATGAGAGAATCATTGATCGGCTGCCTCCTGCATGCCCCCCACTGGGGATCGAGCCCGCAACCCGGGCATGTGCCCTGACCAGGAATGGAACCGTGACCTCCTGGTTCATAGGTCGATGCTCAACCTCTGAGCCACACCGGCTGGGCCACAAGCCATGTTCTGACTGCTGTCTTCCGGGCTCTTTATGTTACTCCTGGCTCAACAGTGCCGAGACAACAGGTACGATTTCTTCAGCCCTATCATTTCAAGTCTCTGATAGGCCCTTCCTATTGAACATATTGTTTCCTTCCTTTAAAAGGAGCATATTTTCTGTGAAACATTATCATTTCATTCCTTTAAAGAAGCCACTCCATGCCAACCATGATGAACCCTCGGGGGAAAGAGGAGGAACTCTTCCAGTGAGGAACATACACATGGATAGTGGAGACTTCCTACAGTCGTGTAATCACTCGGGGGCTGAAAAATCTTCCAAAATCTACTTTTGTTGGACTGAAAAATTAAAAGAAAAAGTCAGACAATCCATGAGTTTCGACTACGGTCCTCAAATGCCAACACAGAAAGGCCACTCCAAGGCACATACCTGTGTGGGTCTGACGGCTGGAAAAAACATTAAGTTGGAAGTGACTGGGCCATAATGTGAGAGATTTCAGGGGAGAATAAAGTATATTTCTAACTTTAGTTTTTTGTTTGTTTTTAAATCCTCACCTGAGGATATTTTTTCCGTTGCTTTTTTTTTTTTTAATTGATTGCAGAGAGGAAGGGAGAGGGAGAGAGAGATGATGAGAAAGCATCACTGATAGGCTGCATCCTACACACCCCCCACTGGGGATGGAGCCCGCAACCCAGGCATGACCAGAATCAAACCTGGGACCCTTCAGTCCGCAGGCTGACGCTCTATCCACTGAGCCAAATCAGCTAGGGCTCCATTGCTTTTTAGAGAGTGTAGGGGGGGTTGGGGAGGGGAGAGAGAGAGAGAGAAAGAGAGAGAGATATGTGGGAGAGACATATTAACTGTCTACCTCCCCTACAAGCCCTGACTGGGACTGGGGATCGAACCTGCAACCCAGGTAACATGCCCTTGAAAGGAAATCGAACTGTTGAGCCACACTGGCCAGGGCTAACTTCAGTTCTGAATTGTCTTTCTAAATGATACATTACATGTGTTAATAACATCAGTATAATGCAACCTCTTTAAAAAGCTGACTTCTTGCCCTGGCCGATTGCTCAGTGGTTAGAGCACCGGTCCACATAACAAAGGGTCCAGGGTTCGATTCCCGGTCAAGGGCACGTACCTGGGTTGCAATTTCAATCCCCTACCCCTGCCGGTGCTCACACAGGAGGCTACCAATTGATGTGTCTCTCTCACAGCAACGCTTCTCTCTCTGTCTCTATTCCCCTCCACTCTCTCTAGAAATCAATGGTAAAAATATCCTTAGGTGAGGATTAACAAAAAAAAATGTTTACTTCTCTTTTTTTCCTTTTTATTGAATTTATCGGGATGACACTGGTTAACAAAATTATGCGGGTTTCAGGGGCACAATTATACAGCACATCCTCTGTACACTGTATTGTGTTCACCACTTCAATTCCAGTCTCCATTCATCACCATTTTACCCGTTCCCTCCTCCGCCTCCTCCTACCCCTCTCCCCGCCCTGGCAATCACCACACTGTTGTCCATGTTCCTGAGTTTTTTCTCTTTTTCTTTCTTTTATGCTCAATCCCTCCACTACCACCCCTGCCCTCATCCTAAAAACTGTCAGCCTGCTCTCTATGACTGTCTCCATTTTGCTCGGTAGTTCATTTTGTTCATTAAATTCCACATCTGAGTGAAATCATATGGTACTTGTCTTTCTCTGACTGGCTTACTTCACTTAGCATAATAATCTCCCGGTCCATCCATGCTGTCACGAAGGGTAAGATTTCTTACAAAGTGTAAGATTTCTCTCCTTTTTTTATAGTTGAGGAGTATTCTGTCGTGTAAATGTAACACAGCTTTCTTATCCACTCACTGGACACCGGGCACCTTCCAGATCTTGGCTCCTGTAAATAACGCTGCAATGCACATAGGGGTGCATATATTCTTTCAAATTAGTGTTTCGGGTTTCTTCAGGTACTTTCCCAGAAGTGGTTCGCTGGGTCGTGAGGCAGTTCCATTTTGTAGTTTTTGCGGTAACTCCACACTGCTTTCCACACTGGCTGCACCAATCTGCAGTCCCAACAATAGTGCACGAAGGCTTCCTTTTCTCCACATCCTCGCCAACTCTTGTTTGTTGATTTATTGATGAGAGCCATTCTGATAGGGGCGAGGTGAGGTCTCCATTTTGTCTGCCTCATTGTGTTTGTATTAGATCAGTGATGGCGAACCTATGACACGCGTGTCAGAGGTGACACGCGAACTCATATTTTTGGTTGATTTTTCTTTGTTAAATGGCATTTAAATATATAAAATAAATATCAAAAATATAAGTCTTTGTTTTACTATGGTTGCAAATATCAAAAAATTTCTATATGTGACACGGCACCAGAGTTAAGTTAGGGTTTTTCAAAATGCTGACACGCCGAGCTCAAAAGGTTCACCATCACTGTATTAGATAGATCTACTGTGACTCCCAGTCTTCGGGGGGAGTCCTTATGTAGTAGGTGTCCTGTGGGACCCAGTGGTGCAGCCTCCTTGGTCACCTGAGCTGGGTGCTCCAGGAATGTCCCTCGAGTGGGTTATGTGGGCCTCCTGTTGTAATTGAGTCTTGGCTGCTACTGGCCCGTTCGTGCACGGGATCGACCCGCAGGCTGCCCGACTGAGTCTCAACCCTGACCATGGCCTGCAAGCTGCTGTGCACGGGCTGACCACACGAAGCGAATTTGCCTCAGCGGGGCTTGGTGCCTGCGATATCTCCCTTTAGGTGTGCTGCTTGTAACCCGGCTCTCATGTTGTGTGAAGCTGGTCACTGGGTGCGTTGGTTCTGGGCTTCCTGGGAGGGACTCTCTGCTGCAGGCCCAAATCAGACGCTACCTGTGACCTACCCTGAGCAACCTGTTTGGAACTGTAAGTGATCCACAACGTGTGGCTGCCAGTGTTGGGCCTGGGTGTGCGGGAGAAGGACCAAGCTGTGCACCCAGACAGGCTTTTACCATCATCGGGTCCGGGTCAGGTGAGCAAAAGTCCCAAGACACCCCAAGAACCCCCTCTACCCACTGGCTGCCTGTGAGACTCAGGCACTGAAAGGGCCTCGGGCTATACTCCTCAGCAGGGCATAAGCTCCACAGAGTGGGGCGGGAGGGAGCCCAGAGGGGGTGGCTGTTGCTTTCCCCAGGCTGATTCCACAGAAGGAAGAAGGCACCTCGAGTGTGGGAGATGGACTCAGCATAGGGACCTGGCGGCTCTCCCTTCAGCTCCCTCCCCAGAGCCACAAACTCCAGTCTTTCCTCATGCACCTCTAGTCCTCCACCCTCCCTCCCCTAGAGCACAGGGTGAGTGGCTACAAACAAAAGTCTGTGTGTTGGCCCTTTAAGAGGGTGCCTGTATCTCTAGAGGACTCCCATCTTTCTGGTGGACAACAACCCCGTTACTTTTCACAGGCAGATGTTACGTGGGCGCCTCTTCTGGGCCCTGTTGCTGTGGGCTGGGGAGCCCGGCAGGGGGTTTAGACCCCATGCTTCTCAGGGAGAACCCCCGCAGCTGAGATATCCCTCTGGAACCTTTGCCGCTGCCATGGGAGTGGGGTTGGCCCTTTCTGCTTCTCTGCCCTTCCTACCAGTCTCGATGTGGCTTCTTCTGTGAATAACTTGGTTATAAGACTTCTTTTCGGCTAGTCTTCAGCTGGTTATTCAGGATGATTCTTCTATGTTTAGCTGTAATTCCAGTTTGGTCCTGGGAGGAGGTGAGTGTAGCTTCCACCTACTCTGCTTCCATGTTGGATCTCTCAAAAGTTTACATCTTTATCTAGATCACATGCCAATCAATACTTCTTCAAAGAAATTACTTAAAATCGGTTTTAATGAAAGTCCACAATGACTAACAAAAGGATAAGCTTTTATAATAGAAATTAAATGTTTGAGAAACTTTCATTTTCTTTGAACTGATTCATCCTATATAATAATCCTATATAATAAAAGCCTAATATGCTAAGTGTCCGGTCAACTGGTCGACTGTTCAACCAATCAAAATATAATATGCTAATGAATGCTAAGGCTGCTCAACTGGTCGCTATGATGTGCACTGACCACCAGAAGGCAGTCGACCAGTTGACCAGTCACTATGACATGCACTGACCACCAGGGGGCAGACGCTCCAACTGGTAGGTTAGCTTGCTGCTGGGGTCCTGCTGATCAGGACTGAGGGAGACGGGCCAGACATGCCCTGGAGCCTTCCCGTGGTCCCTCCCCAGCTGGCCAACCTCCTGCGTCCCTCCCCGGCCCCAATCATGCACCGGTGGGGTCCCTCAGCCTGGCTTGCGCCCTCTTGCAATCCGGGACCCCAGAGAGCTGGTTTCGGCCTGATCCCACAGGCCAGGCCGAGGGACCCCACTGGTGCACAAATTCATGCACCGGCCCCTAGTATTAATATAAAAGCCTTAGAAAGCATTTTAATATAAAACTGCCTTATTTTAAAAAGAATTTGAGGAAGCAAGAGAAATTGAGTAGAATTAAATTACAGCTTTAAGGCTATTATGGGAGTCACCATTTAATGGTGTGATTGACGCTGCAGTTTTCATGGCTGCACCAGAGCATATTGCTACTGAAAAAGAAAAGAAAGAAGCAACACCTCATTGATTAAAGTCTGAGACTCCATAATTAACTAACTTACCAATATATCTTCAAACTCCTCTCATTCAATCCACCTTTCATGTGACTTTCTGATAGAATCATTTACTAAGCCCTTAATAAGCTAGCTACCTATGCATGGAGGTTAAAAAAAAATTATAGTCATTATAACACACGCCTATATTTTTCTCCAAAAATTCACAAGGTAATTTTAATGATTCTTCCAAAAAAAAAAAAAAAACCATACTTAAATGACAGCAAATACAATAAGACATTATCACAACCGCTGCATGTCCCAGATCAGACTAAAATTTTAGCCAGTCCTACACACCCTCCCATGCCACTCCAGCCAAACAACTCCCTCGGGCCACTCTACTGAGTCTAAACCAAGACATCTTACCTTCAGCACCTGGGATGGCCTTGCCAGGATTCGAACCTGGATCATCTGTTTGGTCAGACAGAGGCTTCCAATGAGCACAAGACCAGCTGCAGGTGCACATCCCTTCCTCATATGAAAATTCTGAAATGCCAGGCATTTTCAAAAACCCATTTGACAGAAAGACAGGTTTTACTAGATACTAGCAATGAAATGAACGTAAGGATCAGGCTGTGTTACACAGCTAAAAGATACTCCCACACACACCTCCTGTGACCATAATCACCTTGAAAGTAGCCAGGTAAAGATCACCCTCATTTCCTAGAGGTGAAGTTACTGCACAGGTGTCACTAACAGAACTGGGACTAGACTGCTCAAAATAGTAAGAAAACCAGGAATGTTTCAAGAACTTTACCTTGGCATTTTTCTGGATTGGGCAAAACTTTGGACCTCTTTTGAGGCAAATTTATTCGAGGATCCCCAACTGTCAGTCCCAGAATAGTACCTGCTGGAATTTCTGCTGGTGATGTTATTCCTTGAGCAATAAACAAACAATAAAATGCAAGTTTAAAAAGAGGCATTCACAGTGTATACATATTTGCTTGTATTTTTCAAATTTTTCTAATAAAACTTTCATCTTGGGCTATTTTATTTGAAAACATGTATTTCCATGCTGGCCGGTAAAGCTAAATGGTTAGAACATCAGCCCTCCCACCGAAGGGTCCCCGGTTTGATTTCGGGTCAAGGGCATGTACCTGGGTTGCAGGTGTGATCACTAGCCCTTTTTGTGCACATGCAGGAGGCAACCAGTCCATGTGTCTCTCTCACATCGATGTTTCTCTCTCTCTCTCTCCCTCCCTCCCTCCCTTCTACTCTCTTTCTAAAAATCAATGGAAAAAAATATCTTCAAGTGAGGATGAACAACAACAAAAAACATGTTTTTCCTTTTTTTCCCATTGATACTTTTAGAGAATAAATTAACATTCATAAAGAGAAACGTGCTCTTTATGAAAAACATTCATTTAACATTATAGATATTTTACCAATGTAAACATTGTTTCTTTCATTGATAACTATAGTAGCTTCACACACAAAAGCACTCATGTCCACTTAAGAATCAATTTCAGTTTACTGCCTGGTATATGCACTGACTGTAATATCAGAATGCCAGCTATTTAGAACACTAACATCTCATGTGTTTGTTGTTTCATAAGCAAACTCAAATAGTGTTTTCCCTATTCACTCTCTGACTTGCTTTCTCGCTATATTACAACAAAGAATGAAAGTTAAAAAGCACCACCGTGCGTAGGCAGCTTTCCCACCCACGTCCCACAGCCCCCTCCGCTCCCAGCACAGCCCAGCATCCCCTGCGCATACCTCCCAACAAGTCAAACACGGCCTCCTGTCTGCGGTGGAGGGAAACCGAGTCAGGATTCTTACAGGTTTCAGTCCACCAACGGTGTGGAGTGTTCTCCGTGTCCTCTCCCTCCTGAAAAACAGCAGCTCCTGGTTACCAGACAAATAACGAACCAGACATTATAATCGTGTTAGGGTTGGGATACTGACCCCCTCCACTTTTTTCTGCATGTGGGAATGAACGTTTTAAGGGAAGAACCAGCGGAACTGTCACTATTTTTCACACAGTAATTAGCACCAGGCTAACTATCCTTCTAATTAGAAGCTATCCTTCTAATTAGAGGCAAGAATAGAGTACTACAGTTCTGTCAAGATTTCACATAAGGCTCAGCCAGTGTGGGTCAGTGGTTGAGTGTTGACCTACGAACCAGGAGGTCACGGTTCGATTCCCGGTCAGGGCACATGCCCGGGTTACAGGCTCAGTCCCCAGCGGGGGACGTGCAGGAGGCAGCCGATCGATGATTCTCTCTCATCGCTGATGTTTCTCTCTCTCTCCTTCTCCCTTCCTCTCTGAAATCAATAAAAATATTTTTTTAAAAAAAGGATTTCAGTTCCTTCTCTCTCTTTCTCCGCCATCGAGGTGCATGCGTTCGCTTCTCCTTCACCATGTCTTCCCACAGACTTTCAGGACCAAGAGGTTCCTGGCCAAGAAACAAAAACAGACTTGGCCCATCCCCCAACGGATTCGATGAAACCGGAAATAAAATCAGGTACAGCTCAAAGAGGAGACATTGGAGAAGAACCAAACTGGGCCTAGGAGGAATCACACATGAGAGATGACTCACACATTTCTGCTGTATCCAGGTTGCCTACACCTTTAAATGATTGCGTTGCCTACACCTTTAAATTATTAAAAAGACCGCTACTGTCTGGACAGTTGGGACATTTTAATTGGAAAATTAATGGACTCATGATTTTGCTCTGTTGATTTTTATTTCTGCAATAGTAGGTTGGTTCAGTAATAAATGTGTGAGACCTTTAAAAAAAAAAAAGGATTTCACATACTAAGAAAAACACGCATGACTTTCAGAGAGATTAAGCCACTTCACACTGAGGCCTCTGTGCACAGTGCCTGCAAGAGCGCCTTGCTCCTCTCCCTCTATTGCCAACTTCATCACCAGCAACTTAAGCAATAAAACCTTCCTCCCCAAGGAAAAACCAAACCTATACCTTTTGAAGAAATCTTTAGCCAAAGGCTACATGACGACTCTCGTACGCCTAGAGATTTCAAGTAAGGCACGCAAGTATTTTACTTACATTTCTTCCTGACAGATCCAGGAATTTGAGCAAGGTTTCAAAAAGCACTTCGAGTATCACGTGCATGCCAAGAAAGAATACCTATACTGAATAAAGTAGGATGTGCTCCTAGATTCAAAAGCACCTGTAACATGTGCCAGGTCTCTCACAAATACTCAGGCAGCATAACAGTGGTTTCAAGTACAGGCCCTGGAAACAAACTTCTAGGTACAAATCCTTGCTCTGCAACTCAATTAGCAGGCACTGTGCTAAGCACTGGGGACAGAGCAAAGAACAGAACGACCCTGCCCTTGCCACCACGCTGTGTAAATACACAAACAGAGGTCGCCATACAAATGGAGGAAATGTGCAAGATACAATGTAATTCACAGGAGGGATATCATTTACCCTGAGGGATCGGGAGAGGATTCTGTAGGGAAATGAGACGGATGTTGAAACCTGAAGAATGAGGAAGTTTAGCCAAGCAGAGTGGTGGAGGTGGAATGTTCAAGCAAGTGGGGAAAAAAAGCAGGGAGATGGAATCTCCAGGAGAAAGGAGGCCAGGCTGGCTGAGGTGCAGAGTTGAGAGATGAGGCAGAAAGGCACAGGTTACACAGTCACATTCCGGGCTTTGGATTTTATCGCAGACACAATTCAAGAGACCAGGCAAGAATAGGAGTGGGTGAGGCTAGTGGGGAAGCAATGGAGAGAAAGAGAAAGTAGCCTTTCTCTTTTAAAGTATTTTTCTTCTAAAAGCCCAAACGCTGCTCGGATCTGTCATCGTACCTGACCATGTCAAGTCTGTGAGAGGCACAGGGGCTGAAAGGCACAGGGCACTGACACAGCAAGACAAACATGAGCCCGGAGCGTCTGACTGCTCATCTGGTCTCCTCTCTGGACCTGTGCGGTCCCCATGCCACAGAGTTACCGGAATGTAACTTCTAGCTCATTAAAATTCAATAAAGGTGGAAATGCAGCTCCTTAGTCCCACTGGCTGCGTTTCAAGAGCTCAATGCGACACGTGGCCAGTGCTACCACCCGGGACAGCACAGAGGCACGGCGCCCTCACAGGAAGGCCTACTAGACAGCGCTGCACGAGACACACGGCTCCCTGCCTCTCAGCGCCACAGAACCCTAAAACTCACCCCAGAAAATACGCGTCACACAAGCACAAACAAAACAATGGCCGTACACTCGGGGGCTTTAAGGGCTCTGCTGCCTGTTTATGGAGCAGAAGGTAAGGCCCTTCTGCAAACTCACAAGCTGCAAGAATAACTCGTCCTTAAATCAGAACAAGTCGGTTCACTTATCACACTCACTTAGATTTGTTCATCCAGGAGAAGTAAGAGATGACAAAGTCCTTGATCATAAGTGTACGGAGAGAAATAAACACTTATAGGCCAGGGCCCAAAATGTTACCAAACTGTATGTGAAGTGTCACAGGTGTGCGCGGAAAGACATGACTGGAACGTATCATTACAGTCACGGGGAATCTTACGGTGTGGACAGCAGCAGCTTGCAGGGCCTCGGTGAGGATGGCGTGGGAGAGGGGACCGATCAGGCGGAACCTGTTGATCTCCATCGTCAAATCACTGAAAGAGAGAGAAAAAGTCTGAAAAGGGAAACTTCCACGACAAATACGACGGCTGTGGCCACAGGCAGAAACAGAGGAAGCCTTCAAAGCAAACATTCTGAGCGAATGCCACCTGTACCTGATCACGATGCCTGTGGTGGAGGAGCTCCAAGAACGCGGTTCATGTGCAGCTCTAGTTCCATCCCCCATAAATTTTTTAACTGGTTTAGCGTTTTCTCCATCGTCTTTCCGTTTTCTTTTCTTGCCAATTTTCTCATCGGGCAGTTTCGCTGGGCTTTTTTCTTGGGCTGGTGCCAGAAGGGGGTCAGGGATGCAGGCAGTTGATTCGACCGGTTCTATACACTGGCACGCTGCTTTTATTTCCTCCAAAATATCCTAAGGATATACGTAAACATTTTACTTTTAAAGTTTAAAATGTAAATACATTAAAGATTTAATGTGGTTTAGTTTATTTTTTCCCCTCCCTTTAAAAATTTACATTTTTATTCCTTCGCAAATTAAACTAAATTCATCATTATCAAAATGGTGTTTGGGTTCTTCTGAGTAGTGCATGGGACTTGGAACAAAAAAAAAAAAGATTATGTCAAAGATTAATGAAAACAACACGACTGCTCTGACCAAATATTTAAAAATGAGTTTAAGCCCCAACTGATGTGGCTCAGTTGGTTGGAGCATCATCCTGTACAACAAAAGGTAGCGGGTTTGATTCCTGGTCAGAGGTTCGATCCTGGTCAGAGTGTGTGCAGGAGGCAACTGATCAATGTTTCTCACATCACACACACAAAAATCATTACCAAAAAAAAAATGAGTTTAAGGAGAAAATTTACCATCTACCACATAAAAGCAGTGAGTATGCTAAAAAAGAGAAAGAGAGAGACTAACTAAGCTAAATGCAGTGTTAAAATCTTCAGAATTAATCAAAACTACTTCTCATCAAATAGGCTTTACCTAGCACCTAGCCACCAGGGAACCAATTCATGGTGGAAGCATTCATCCAAAGGCAACATTTCAAGCCATTTGCCTAATAAGGTTGGTTTTCATCTCTACTTATGGCTTACTAAAAAAGTGAGGGGTCCAGATTTGCTTCATGTAATATACACGCAACTTTCTTCCCTACATTCAAATACCAAGCTACCAGCCAAACTTCTACGCCACTTAAATGTCTATGGTATTGATTTCCAACAGTCAAGAATGCAGGGACGAGTGACGGGGAGACAAACTCAGGGGTAGTACCTGTTTAAGCGTTGGGTGAAGCCAGATCCACAACTGCCTGCTCTCAGAGGTGTCCCCAGGGGTCCTCTCCGGCTTCCAAATGAATAAAACAGGCCCCAGCATGCCTCGGGGGTACTGATGTGCCCGGTAAAGCAGGAGACTTCCCTGGCGCTTTCCAGACAAGCAGTGAACTGCTGCAAAAGTCAACCCTGACAGAAACGAAAACAAAATCCCATTGTTTCAAGTGTTGAGACTGCAGCAGTATTTCCCGACAGCTAGACTATTATTGCTTGTCTCTCTCCGGGTCGGGGTGCAAAGTCTAGGCTCTGATCACTGCTTGGATCAAAGTGGCACACAGTAAGTTCTCCATAAATATTTTATGGAATGAGTGGTTTAATGAGTTTTCCATTTCTGCCTACCTAAACTCACTCCATCAGCATAATGACCTTCTCACTTTACACTTGACAAGGTTAGAACTGATTTAAAAGCCACCCTAAGCTTTCCTTTAATTAACATACTCAATGGAGAACAAAAACTCTCTCATGCATTTTTATATATGTTTAAACTACCGAACACTTACAGCACTGACACTTCTGCATGAAAGAAAGAAATAACCAGACCAATATAGGACTCAGATTTGAAACAAGTTTACCTGTGTCTATGCTACACATTGGAGAAAGTGCCTTTAGTATTTCTTCCTCTTTGCCCTTCAACTCCAAACAACAGTAGTAGGATAAATCCTGCAGAGAGAGAGAGAGATCATTAAAAACGTAGCCATTTACACGGGGAAATTGCAAGAAGCCAAAAGTCACATGAGAAAAACTCCCAGAGTCTAAGACACAGAACAGATTGCTATGTAAAGCTATCATTTCACAAGTCAAAATCTGAAACCTGTCTGTTCCTGTTACATCAGTAAATATTCTTAAACCAATTTGAATCAAAATAAAAATGAATTTCCATTTAAATATGTTATAGTTTCCTTTTTATAAAAAAAAAATCTGTGTTATATCCTGCAAAGACGAGGTCTAAGCAGAATGTAAAAACTGCTGCCTCTAAGTAAAGACTTATTCTTCCCTGAAATCTACCTAAGAAACGAGAGTCATGATGCTCCAAATAATTTATACCATATTTCTCCCATGCTCATTCTTGACTATAATATAGATTCAAATTGATACAAGGTACAAGGGAAAATGAGAGTAATGAGAGTAAGACCTTACCAATTAAATAAGATAAAGACAGATCAAACTGAGGTAGTAAAATCAGTATGTTAAAGAACTGTAGCCAAAACCGGTTTGGCTCAGTGGATAGAGCGTCGGCCTGCGGACTGAAAGGTCCCAGGTTCGATTCCGGTCAAGGGCATGTACCTGGGTTGCGGGCACATCCCCAGTAGGAGATGTGCAGGAGGCAGCTGGTCGATGTTTCTCTCTCATCGATGTTTCTAACTCTCTATCTCTCTCCCTTCCTCTCTGTAAAAAATCAATAAAATATATTTTAAAAAAAAACAACTGTAATAACAGTGTATAGTCAATAAAGCGTTACCACGTGCCAGGGGCTGGGCTAACTCCTTACACGGACTGTCATTTAATCTTCCCGACACCTGATGACCCAGGTGCTATTTGTTATCTGATTTCACAGAGGAGGGCACTGGGACAGAGACTGTTACTGAACAAAGCCACATAACCAGAAAGTGGAGAAGGCGGCGTCCACGACAGGCTCCCACTGAATCCTAAACATCTGGAACAGCGTTCGAACACTGATCACAGTCCATCGATGGTTCTCAGATACCTGTTACTGATCAATGACTACTTACTGAACCAAGGCTGAATACATCTCGGGCACGACCAACAAAACCCCACATGATCGCTAGAACTAACCTCACCCTCATGTTAGCCTTGCTCCGATTCTCTTCATTCTTGTCGGGTGGAATTTATTTCAATTCTTCCCTGCTACCTGGCTTCCTTCTGCCTCCCCCACTCTCCCACTTTCTCATTCCTTAGAACTCTGCTCAAACAACACTTCCATGGGGAAACTTCTTGGTCCCCTGTTAAGCATGCTCATGGTATTCTATGTATCCCTTACAACTGCATATTTGGCTAATTGTTTGATTAATGTCAGTCTCCCCTAATACCTTTACATTTCGTCTCCAGCATCTAGCAAAGTGCCTGGTGCTCAGTAATCATTTTTAAAATAAATAATCTCAGAGATAGGGCTTTGGCATTACCACGAACTGTTCTAAACGTCTCTGTCAGAAACGGTCTAAACAAATATAAAAGAAAACCAACTGGAAAGCAGACCTGAAGGAGGCAACGGTGTGTCATGGCTCGATAGCAGGCGCGGTGGCTCTTGACTGTCGGCCTCTCCCCGAGGCAGTAGCCCCACTGCTTGACCATGTGAAACCGTTTGGCGTGCCAGATGTGCGTTTCTAACCATCTGTTCTTCTTCTGCCTACGGTTAAATTCCAGCATCCGGTTGATGTGACATCTTCGAGCTTTATGGCACTTGTTTTTTGAATGTTCTTTCTTCTGATGCACTGCTTTCTCTGCCTGTAGTTTCAAGAAGAGAAGCAGAACCAGTGTGCGACCACTTCAAAACAAAGTTAAGTGTTAGGAACTCAAAGTTAAACTAACTTTAGATTAAGTGGAGCACATGATAGACCCCATTAGTTTGCTTAAATGTTTAACTTGGTGAGTTCCCCAATGGAAGCTGAGATGGGAGCAATAGAAGGAGTGCATATTTTAGAGGTGGTCAAACCTAAGGAAGCACATCCTGTCACTTACTAATTGGGCAAGCTTCATGGAGTATGAAGATTAGACTAGTTATAACATGTTCAACACAGTAACTCAAGCTTATTGTTGCTATTAAGAGTATATTAGAGAGGAACAGCGAATACACCCTATGCTAGCTTTTTGTTGTTATTTTTTATTGTTTCTTAACCTCTAAGATTATAGCTAAATCTAAAATTTAGAACCAAAAATATAGAAGTGAGGAAAATTACACATTTCATGTCAGTTAGGTACTGAGAGGTAAATGCTAAGTGTTAGCATTGGGAAACAGACTTCACATTAAGTCTAGAAACTACGAAATTCCTGTGTAGTTTTTACTATTCATCTCTTCCATAGCCAAGCTAAACTTCTGTGGAAAAAACTCTTCATTAGTTTGTGGGCCCCTTACAAATAAGGACTTGACCTTGATGAACTCTAACCCTACAACCAACATGGTACTGATACATAGAAGGTACATTACAAAGAAATTCTGAATCAACTAATAAAGACATGGGTAGCTTAGACAATCTCAGAAAGTCCAAGCCAAAAACAATTAGACTTGAAAAAAATTTAAATTCAAGCCCAATTTTTCAACATTGAAAAAATCAAAAGGCAAGTGCTACGCAATGATGCTACCTTTTTTTTTTTTTAACCTTCCAACTCTAAGCCCAAAATGCAGAGCTAAAATTGCTTATCTGGTAAGAAGGTCAGTATTATATTTTAAATATGACAGGGAAATGTCAACTTTTTAACACCATTAAAAGAAAGGGGTTCCATGCCCAGCTGGGAGGGCTCAGTGGTTGAGCATCGACCTATAAACCAGGAGGTCATGGGTTCAATTCCCGGGTGGCAGGCTCAATCCCCAGTACGGGGCATGCAGGAGGCAGCCGATCAATGATTCTCATCATTGATGTCTCTCTCTCTCTCTGAAAAATCAATAAAAATATATTTTTTAAAAGGGTGGGTTCCAACTGTTATATTTAAAAGCAGCTGTAATGTACAACTATTTGGTAGATGATAAGGAGGTGGGAGGGGGATAAATCATGAAAACAAAATATGCAAAGTCTGCCTGTTGTTTTTGGTTTTCATTTTAACAAATTCTATTAGGTTAACACTTCCCATTTTCTCTTAGGAACTACTAACCTAAACATCACACCAAGTAAACCGTATACCTCTTTCTGAGCAATCTCCTGCAGCCGTCTCGGAAGGCGTTTGACGTTGTGGCTCATGGCTCTTCGCCTCATGTGCCGTGGCAGAGTCTGGAAAACCAGTGAATTTGAAGACTTCTGAGTCACTGCTTTCAACATAGCACTGATTTCAGCAGCTCGGGCCTGAGCAAAAGTAGACGCTGTCGAAGCAAAGAGGACTGCCATTAAAAACTAGCCTTGAATCAACACTGTCCTGCTACATTTCAGAAGAAAAAAAGACTTGAAGTACATGAGCTTATGATTCACTCACCACCCCAACCCCTGATTAGTGGTTATTTCTGTATTATAAGACTGTAAAACTATTCTTCATCTTTTATTTTTTCAAGTTTCCTACAAGAATTCGGCGCCACTTTCTCATTAAAAAAAAAGTTTAAAGACAAGATTACAAAAAAAAGCTTAAGACAGAGAACCACATGCAATAAAATAACAACCATTTTTAAGTATAATAATCACACAAGAAAACAAAAAAATGTTCACTCCCAGCTTTTGGTACCAAAAACAAAACAAAACAAATCAAAGAAAAAACAAAATTTTAACAATGGCTTTGATTCCAAGGATTTTTTCCTTAACATTTTCTTCTTTTTTCAAATATGTGACCATACTATTATTAGTTTTCTTTATTGAAAAATACTTTTTTTTTTGAAGAGTAAATAGAGTGCTGGGGAAAGTTAAATGAATTCCTCCAAGAAGGTATACAGAGAGACCAGAAGCACCCGTAAGGTACGTACAAGAAGAATGGGCCATGTGGTAGGGGTAAGAGTAGTGGGGCGACGAGGGATGAGCTGGCAAGGACCTGGAGAAGGGGATTTAAAGATCTGGGTTGCCTTGAAAGTGCATTAAATTTGGTTTCATCTTTGGAGAATGCCATGCCGAGGGGTGTAAATAGCATTTCCTATTTTAAGCGAGAGTGGGGAAAAGATTTTAAGACAAAGTGGAACAGTGCACAAATAAAGGCTTTTAAGAAGAGAGGTAAGGAAAAGGAGAGGAATTGAAGAAGGGAGAGCAATCAGACCCAAATCCAAAGGGAGGGGAGAAAAGCTTGGAGTAGGAGGAGGAGAGAGAGGGGAGGCAGGGCCAAGACATAGCGAGGGCGTTTGAAATCTGGCTGCATTAGCAACAAAGAGCTCACAGTGCAACCAAACCTCACTTCTTTACAAATACCTACCTGTTATGTACTTTGGAATCTCCTGAGACGTGCCCTCAGGACCGGCTTTCCATCCTCCCTTCTTTCTAAACATTACTTTGGAGGAAGATTGCTCATTCACATCAGGCCTAGGTGGTGGATAGTGGGCCATTTTGGCTTGCTGCTGTCGTGAAGTTCCAGAAGAAGGATCTAATATATTAAAAAAAAAGAAAGAAAGAAATATGTCACTCTTATCAGGAATAAGGATTACAGTGGAGAATATCTGTTGGGGTGAACTGAAATTTTCCCCCACTCTGCACATGCCCACGAATGACCCCCAAAATACCCAAAGCAATCTGCTCCAAATGGGAGTGGAGAGAGCACTGTGTGTATCTCACCTAGTTTTTGAGCTCGGAAAGGTTTCCCACCTCCATTAAGGTGCTTTTCACCTCTATCAGGCACAAAGCCAGAGGATAAAGTCACATTGGTGGGCTGGTTTCTCATCTTCTTAGCATGTTTTCTTTCTTTTGCATTAGACATTTCTGGAAATAAAGTAATAAATTAATACAGGGAAAGGGAACATCCATTCAAAAATAAATATAATAAATATTCATAACTCAGTATACAATAAATCTTTCTTATAGGCGGATTGATATAAAAATGTCATCGTGGTATTTATTTACTACAGAAATTCATAACCAGGACAATCTCTAGGGGAGCCATAAATGGTATTAACACCAAAAACCTGATCAATAGAAAAAAAATGTTTTATTGTTGGAAGAGACTATATTAGTACATTCCAGTTTGCACTTTCAAATAATGAAATCATAAACCTATGCTGACACTGCAAAAAGTCTGTTGAAAGAATGAAAAATGAGGTAGGAGATAAGATCCCTATGCCATGATAAAATTAAATTAACTAAAACATGCAATAAAAATTCTGAGGTGGCCCTGGATGGTGTGGTTCAGTTGTTTGGGCATTTTCCCTTGTACCCAAAGGTTGATGGTTCGATTTCTGGTCAGAGCACATGCCTGGGTTTCAGCTCGATCCCCAGTCGGGAATATGCAGGAGGCAGCTGATCGATTATTTCACTCTCACATCAATGCAGCTCTCTCTCCTTTCCTCTCTCTCTAAAATCAATAAAAACATAAAAATAAGTAAATAAAATTTTAAAATCTTTTCAAGAAAATCCTTAGGTGAACATAAGCCACTTGAATCAATGAAATATAGAACACACTATTCTGATATAACCTCTACAAAAACTGAACATAAATTATTGATGTTTTCATTTCTACTACTGAGATGAGGCCAGAGGCACCTTTAATTTGTAACAGCTAAAAAAATTCCATTTGAAGGACGAAAAATAAAGGACAAAAACCTAGTGGAGCCTGATGGATTTACTCAGTAATTCTCAAACTTGACATCCACCCCCCTTTTTTCCTCAATAGTTTCAAATACCTGTTTTCTATTTTGAAATGAAATTCACTCATAGCATAACCTACCAGTTATAACCTATAACTTTTGCCAACACATGCCCTACAACATGTGCTCTAACTGTAATGTAAAGAAAAAAATTTTAATATGTATTTCAATATTTCACAACTGTACCAGATGACATTATGAAACAATGAAAAAGCTCTGAAAGTTCTTGAGCCAGAAGTAGAAAAGCCAAAACCTTAGCAGTACGTAGGACAAAATGAGGGTGAGTAAACAGGACTTTCTTATATCGCATTTTAGGAGCCGGGCAGGACTGGGACCTTGCCTGTCCTTTTCACTACTGCACCTCCAGCACCTAGCAGGGTGCCTTGCACAAAGTAGGGGCTCAATATCTATTTGTTGAATGCATCCGTGCATGCATACATGAAAGAGGGAAGTGTGCTACAATGCATTATAAACAGAATGAAAACATATTCAGCCAACTATCACCCCTTCTGACACCGCATGTCTGAGTACCTGCCAAGAAAGCAGCCCTGGGGCCAAGTGCTGGATCAAGATCACTATCTGCCTTTTTTTTATTATTATTATTATTATTATTATTATTATTAAATATCTATCCACTGAGCCAAACCAGCTAGGGCACTATCTGCCTTTTTTAAACCAGATCCCAGCCCCTACAAGAGAAAGGAACATGGGCGGGGCTGGCAGGTCGAAAACGCCCAGCTCTCCCGTCACCTGGGAGGGACCCACATTTCTGCTTTAGGGCAGCGATTTTCCACCCGTGTGCCGCGAGGACTTCTAAAACATACAATACCTGACTCCGCAGTCAGGGGCACTGACCTCTTTTCCCTTAGATTGTCAATAAAAAATGACAACTGCCAGCACAACAATAGCTGCCTGGTCTGAATGAAATCAAAATCATACCCTATTTTCGTCCAGACCAGCCAAAACAAAAATTATGTGTGTGTGTGCGCGTGCGCGCGCTATGGAATTTTAGTAATTAGTTCGTGTGTGCCGGGAGATGAAAAAGGTTGAAAAAGGCTGCTTTCGAGTGTAAGGAGAGGGGGTACAAGCCCGTTCCCAGAAAGGGCTCCGCCTAGTGTGGCCCTGCAGCAAAATGACAGAGTCAGGGAGCTCCGGGCAGGGGAAAGGTGCTGCAGCCGGCAAGACAGGCCCGGAGCTGGCAGCAGGGGAAGAGGAGGAAAGGGGAGGTCGGCCGGGTCTGGGGGTGGGGGGCGCAGTGCGCTGGTGCCAGGCGAGGGATCCCCTCTCCTCCCCCCCCCCCCGCCCCTACACACACGGTCCCCTAGAGACCACCAGCCCCTCACGACCCACCTGCCAGACGATCCGAGGCAGAAAACTAGGGCTTCCGAAGTCAGAATGACAAGGTTCTGCTGCGGTCCCCTCCGAAACGACGTGCGCTGCGAGCGAGCTGGAGGGCGCATGCGCCGTGCGGCGGCTGCCTCCACGTGGCCCGGGGCCGCGCAGAGACTACAACTCCCAGAATGCCGTGCGAACCCGCCGGGGCGGAGCGTTTCTGCAGGCATTGCCTGGGGCTGGTTCGTCCGGTGCGGTGAGACGCGAACGGGCGAGTGCACGGGATTGTTCTCTCCGAGGGGCCTGAAGAGAAAAGAGTTAGCCATGTCGTCCTTAATCAGAAAGGTGATCAGCACCACGAAAGCCCCAGCGGCCATTGGTCCCTACAGGTAACTCAACGTGTGGAGCGGGCCGGACCCCAGGCGTGCGGGATCGGGGGTACGGGACTGAGCCCCCCGGGATCCGAGCTGGGGAGGACCTCGGGGTTCATCCGCAACCTCATCCAACACACGAGGAAACCTAAACAGGGAAAGGGGGCAACGCACCCGGAGACCCACAGTGAGTTAGGAGCACAATGGGAGGGGGAGCCTGCGCTCCCCGGGACTTCGTCCAGACGTGGGGTGCCTCGCTAGCAGCCAGCCAGCCAGAAAGTGACTCTGGTTGGAAGTGGTCTGTTTTCGAACTTTTCTTCCTTTCTTTCTTTCTTTCTTTCTTTCTTTCTTTCTTTCTTTCTTTCTTTCTTTCACAGCTTTGGGGAGCTAAAATTCACATACACCCAAAATCCATCCCTTTGTACAATTCAGTGATTTTTACTGTACTCGCAAAAAAGTGTAGCCATCGCCACTATGTGATCTCAGAACATTTTATCACCTAGAAAAGATACCCTGTACCCACTAGCAGTCACTCCCATTCACCTCTTCCCTCAGCCCCTGGCAACCGCTAATCCGCTGTGGGTCTCTCTAGATTTGCCTGTTCTGGACATTTCCTGTAGTAAATGGAATCCTACAATATGGAGTCCTTGGTAACATCTTTCACTTAGCACCGGCATTTTCAACCTTTTTCATTTCATGGCGCACATAAACTAATTACTAAAATTCTGTGGCACACCAAAAAATATACTTTTGCCAATCTGGCCAAAAAAAAAAAAAATTAGGTATCGTTTTGATTCATTAACTCTGGACAGATATTGTTGTGTTGGCTGTTGTCCTTTCTGTTATTTGACAGTCTAAGGGAAAAGAGGTCAGTGCCCCTGACTAAATAGTCCAGTATTGGGTGTTCTGAAAATTATTGCGCACACTGGTTGAAAATCGCTGATTTAGCATAATGTTTGGCTAACCCTCTCTTAACTCGAAGGAGTAAATCCTATGCACAGATGCTTAGCAAATCCCTGCACATTTACCTAAGATACTAGTTTTTAGAGCACCTATACACATGCTTTGTGATGTTTTGAATTCATTTACTCATACTTACTTCCCACTAGTAAAGTCAAATGCAAATCATGACTAAGATTGTTTCTAAGGTTGCCCACGTGTTCTAGGTAAATACACATACTGGTTAGAAAGTCTGTACTGTGCATGTTTATTTCCACTTGTCAGAAGCGCTGCTAAATAGAAAAGTCGATTCCTTTTATAAGAGACTTTATTTTCTTAAAATGTCTAACCTTTAAACTACTGGATCTTATATGCATTCTTGTAGACTTTTATTTTCCTAATATAATTTTTGCTATTTTTAATTCTTCACTAAAGTATATTCTGTAACCATTTCTCCTTAAAATAGTCCATAGTGTCGGTTCAATGTTAAAAGAACTAACTACAGCTTGTAAACTTCTGCAGCGGGAACACTTGAACTTTGACAGACATGTATTGAGTACCCACCATCTGCCAAGCATTTCAAGGGATACAAAAATGTGTAAAAATCAAAAAAGAAACATTTTAATTGAGTATGTTGTGTGGCAGGCACCATTACAACCACCTTCTTCTCTGAGTCCCATCCCCATTCTACAAAAAGAAAACTGAAGCTTGAAGTGAACTTGTCCAAGATCAGTCTGTGAATGAAAGTGACAGCTTGTTTTGAACAGTCCTAGCTCCCTTTTGTATTCCACAGTCATGAAAAATAGCACTTCTGTGTGGCAGAGCACTAACTGTTCTCATAGGGTTAGAAGTAAAATGCAAAGGCAGTGAGGGGTACAGGAGGAGGGGAGTCGGGGTGGCAAAAGAGGAAAAGAAAAAAAATTGATGCTAACCTTTAGGAAGAAAAAGATTTAGGAAGACTCCTCGTGGGAGGTAGTCTTTGAGTTGGGTTTTGAAGGTTGGGTTTGCCATTACAATACTGTTGTAAAGTTTGATTTTTAAATTATAGTTGACCCCTGAACAATATGGGTTGACCGGTGGGTGGGAGTCCACTTATGCACAGCTTTTTTTTCAATACTGTAAATGCATTTTCCTAATAACATTTTCTTTTATCTAGCTTACTTTATTGTAAGAATACGGTTTATAGTACATATACAAAATATGTGTCAATCATCTGTAAGGCCTCTTTCGGTCAATAGTAGGCTACCGGTATTAGTAGTTAAGGTTTTGGGAAGTCAGAAGTTATACGTGATTTTCCGCTGTTGTGGAGTGGGTGCCCCATCCTCACATTGTTCAAGGGTCACGTGTACTCTGTTAAAGACGTCAACAGGAAGTCATGGGGGGAAGCCAGTCCAGATAAAGGAAATGACTTGAGGGGAAGCCAGTCCAGATAAAGGACATGACTTGAGGCACAGAGGTAGAAGAATATATGGCGTAAAGGTTTGCGGAGGAAGTTTTAGTGATCCAAGTACCATTTTTACTCTTTTTTTTATTCATTTGCCAAATCTGTGTACCACCTATATTATAATTGACTTAACACTTTTCATTGAGATGGCTCACTTAATTTACAAAGGAAACTTTACAACCGTACTCTAAGTAGAAAACGCCCCAATAGAGGGCAACAGTAAAAAATAAACTCGAGTAAACCAACAATGTTATTAAATTCCAGCTAGATCCTGCAGTGGGCTCAGAACCCAAGGCCTGCTCTCTCTTTGGTAAAGGTGATAGGTTTCTTTAGCTTGATTTCTGAAAGGGATGTTGTTTCTCCATGTAATCAGAGGACTGACGTCCTAATTGCTAACGCTTACTGATGCTTACTCAGCACTAGGCACTGTTCTAAGTGCTTTATGTGCACAGGTACTTCACAGCCTCATTTTTCAGATGAAGAAAGAGAATCGAAAAGGAATCATTTCCTTGCTGTGACTCGGTGTTTATGTATGACTTACACTTGAACTTTGGGAAACACTGGTTAGGAGTTAGACTTTGAATTTTTGTTTTGCTTCTTGCTAAAAATTAGCTTTTAGCCAAGTCTGGATTGTGATGGTTTCCAATGATAAACTAAAGAGTATAAACTTTATTTGGTATGCAGTGAGGAGCCATCACATGTTTTTGAAGAGGAAGTAACATGATCAGATCTCTCTCCCTCTTTTTTTTTTTTTATACTTGTCTGGAGGTGACTGGCAACAATGGCTAAGTCAGTCATGCTGCTGATTCACCTCCACAGGTTTGTTTAGCACATCACAAATATCTTTTCTCTTGACACAGATCAGATCTCTTTTAAGAAGAGAATTATAGTAATTTGAGAAGACATTAAGAATAGTTAAGGGAGTATTACAATAAAAGTAAAAATCAGTCATCTTTTTCCTTCTGCCCTGATCCTTCTCCCTCAATCACCCAATGGTTTTACTTCCGTGACCCTTAACAAAAACAAAGGGGTTATAGCCCGGCTGATGTGACTCAGTGGTTGAATGTCAACCCATGAGCCAGGAGGTCACGGTTCAATTCCTAGTCCAGGCATATGCCCAGATTTCCTCCTTGATCCCCAGTCGATCAGTAATTCTCTCTCATCATTGATGTTTCTATCTCTCTCGCCCTGTCCCTCTCTCTGAAATCAACACAAACATTTTTTTTTTTAAAAAGGGAAAGGGGATTATAAAGCCTGGAGCGTACACCTTCTTCCAGTATGTACTTTGTTCAAGAAAGAAAGCATGAGAGTAATATCCCTGGTTGACTCAAAGGCGGGCTCAACTATCTGTAAAGCTGCAACAAAAAAGAGGAATCTTCATGAGAATATGCAAGTAGGACGAGGGAAAAGCCATCAACCAGAGCTCCATTGTGTGGGGACTTTTCAGGACATTGTGCGTCTTGTGCTTTTCTGTATCCAAAGATGATACAAGGCCACTTGAAATGGTACGAGTTTTCAATATTTTATGGAGAAAAAAAATTCCAACTAACGATTTATATCCTGATAAAGTGAATTGGACACGTTTTATAACCATTTGGAAACAAGAGTTTTGGTGCATGGAGTGCACTTTTTGAAAATTCTGGGCCCTCTCCAGGAGGAATTCAGATGTGTTGAACTTTCAGTCCCTGGCATTGGGATGGATGGGGTGTTGTCACTAATTAGCTAATCAGTCAGCACATTTCAGGGATACTTCAGGTCAGAACCTTGAGAGATTGCCACACCACGTTGCTATTGCATTGCTTTCCCTTTTGCTGGCACACCATCCAAATAGTCATAATGTTGAAGTGATGGTCCAGGTGGCACAGATGATGATGTGAGAATTATTACTAGGATGTTTTTGAACAGTGTTATTACCCTTTGACCTGGTTGTAGAACAACATGCTTGTACATTTTCTGGAGCCTAATGACTTGTCTACAGGTAGGATTCTTATGCCCAGGACGCATCAGCTATCCAGTTATGTTTGTGAACAACCTCTACTAACTCATAAGAGATAACTCACGTAGCTCTGATCATCTCAGAAGTCCAGGGCGTATTTTAGATTTTCTGAGAATAAATGAGTTCCTTTTTATGGTGGAAAAAATATTTTAATGATAATGCGTATGGGCTTAAACTACATTTCAGATATGGAAAGGGTTAAAGGTACTTTGCAAAGGGCCGAGGGTAGCCTCATTCTGCACAGAACAGTTAATAGAGACAGTGCTAGCTGACAGTACTGTTCAACCCGAGAAAAGCTGACACATTAACAAACTCAGTAGTTACCTATGTGTGGGCTAGGGTGAAGCCAGATGGTGGAGAAGAATTCCCAGACTTTCTAAATCCTGTTACCAAATTTAAAGTTAACCTCTTCAGTTCTCCACAACCCACACTAAAAGCCAGTAGGTCCTCCAAAAAAGATACTTTAGTGAAAGTCTAAGTTGTTGAAGCTGCCAAGTGGTTAGAGAGCAAAACATCAAGAAGTTACCATGTTCCTGCTATGTGTAAGGAATCACCTAGGCCCTGCACAGCCAGAGACATAAGAAGGCACTGCCCCTGCCTTCAAGTTTACAGTCGGGCACACCCGGGAGTTAGGATAAGAACAGAACTAACTATCCCCCTGTGCCTGGTATAAGAAAGGCTCCACCAGAGGACCTCTGGGGCTCAGAAGACAGAAAGGCTTAGTTTTGCTCAGGAAAAACGTGTGTGTGTGTGTGTGTGTGTGTGTGTGTGTGTGTGTGAGCTGGTTTTCAACGTAGTGTTTATAGTAGCAAAATATTGGAATCAATGTGAATAGTTAAAGTAGATCCAGGCAATGAAATGTGCCACTGTCAAAAGAATGAGGAAGCAGTCTACACATAGAGTTGTCCCCCCAAAATGTATACACACACTTTGAATAATTATAAAGGCAGTGTTTATTAAAATACATTTCATTTTCTGAACTGAGCTACCAGTTGTTAAAGTGTGTATACATTTTTGGGGGACACCCTGTATATGTATGGGAAAATCACGATATACTGTGGAGTGAATGAAGCATACCAGGTGTAGTGTAAATGGGGAGAGAAAATTTATATTCATTTTTCTTCATATGTGCATGAGGAAACTTTGGGAGAATGTATAGAGAAGAGCAATGGTTATCTGTAGGGCTGGGAACTGAAAAGATAGAGGATAAGGATAGAAGAGAGACTTTACACTGTGATTCTTTGTATATTTTCTGGATGTTTGAACCATGTGAATGTTCTCTTGTTTAAAAAATTATAAATTTTATATTTAAAAGTATAAAGAAAAAAAAGTTTTAGAACATTTCCCTCCTCTTCCCCCACACCCGCCCTCAAAAGAAAAATTCCCTTGTTCCTATGGCCCCAGGCAGCCAATAGTCTAATTTCTGCTGCTATTCCTTTATCTTTTCTAGAATTTCATATAAATAGAATCAAATAATATATAGCCTTTAGTTGAATCTATCTGTGGGTGTTTTAAAATTTTTTTAAATTTTTGCTGTCAAGAATAATGATGTTCTTAATATTCATGTAAAGTCTTTAGACTTTTAATTTTTCTTGCCTGGGAAAGAAATTGCTGGGTTGTATGTTAAAATTTTAAGCAACTGCCAAACTATTTTCCAAAGTGTCTGAAATGTTTGCATTCCCATCAAAAATGTATGAGGGTTCCAGGAGCCCCACATCCTCACCAATACTTAACTGTCAATCATGTCCTATTGTGTGTGGTGGTGTCTTATTGTGGTTCTGGTTTACATTTCTGTAAATAGCTAATATGTTGGGTATCTTTCATATGCAGAACTCCCTAGCTCTTCATATGTCTTCTTTTATCTGTTCAAATCATTTGCCCACTTTTTTTTCATACTTCACCTATTTATTGAAAGTACCCATCACTGGACCACCCTGAGTTCAAACATTTTCTCAAACTTTAACTTAAGAATCATGATGAAGAAGATATCTAACCAATGGCATGGGAACAGTGTGCACTGTATGATCCCAGGTAATGTGGCTTCTGAGGATTCAGGAACGCCCTGGGAGAACCGCTGCCTTAGATCATGGCAGACTTTTTCTATAGAAAGATTAGTTTACAGAAGCATCGCGTACTCTTTCTAGAGTAGTTAGTCCGATATAATCTGGACATGCCTGAGATGATCACAGGTTTCGACAGACTCCTCAAGTTCAACAGGAAACGAGAGCTCAGTGCCACTCCACGTGGGCTATGCATATATGAGAAAGAGCCCTTGAAATCCCTGGGCTAAGCAGACAAGCAATCAGTAAGAAGTTAGAGCTGTGGACATATTATACACTTCAACTAACACTTACAATAGCACTCTGGAAATCTCCTTGTCCCAGAAGTCTTTGATTCCACTAGAAAATAACTCTTAAAAAAGAAAGAAAGAAAGAAAAGAACTCTTGTTTTCAAGGCCCTTTCTCCTCCTGTTAAACACATTTTAAATGGTGAATCTGAAAAGGGGAGATTCCCAGGTGCCAGGAACAAACAGAGAAATCGAATCAGAGCCAAAATAAATGAGCTGAAATATGAAGTCCATGGGGATTTGAGACCTAGATACAGGCCCTAGGAGCTGGGGTCCTAAATTCCTACTTTAGAAGACCATGTCCTGGGGGTGTAAGTTTGAGGTACTGGGAAGAGACCCCTCGACAGCCAAGGAAGGGCTACAGTGAGAAGCGGTGAAAGAGGACTAGCAAACTCCACTAGCCTGGCAAAGCAGTAAGAAAGGTTGCTGCATGTCCTGGGACCTTGTGTTATACTGTATGCAGAACACATCAAAGGCAGAGAGAAACCCTTAACATCAAACAGGGAGGGAACAGACTACCTAGAAAGGCAAGACATCACTGACAGCAAACACCACGTCAGCAATGACCAAGGCAGAGGACCATGGAGAACGCTTCAAAGTGAAAAAAAAACTAAACAAGCCCCTGCTGAAAAAAAAAAAGACACACACACACACAAAATATACCTCAGTAAGGAGTGTGTGCAAAAAAGAATCATGTAAGTAAATCTAAATACGCCTGACTGTAAAGAAACTAAAAATATATGAAGTTGGGGGCTAGGGGCTTGGGAAGAGGTTAAGTGGAAACGCGGAAGAACTAAAATCATAGAACTAACAGGAGAGGAGAGCTGAGTTGGAGTTCTAAGTCCTCGTGCTACTCGGAGGAAGCTGGATAAACGTGAGAATTTAAGTCAAATATGTATGTAACAATGCAAGAGTAATGACTAAATTAGAAAAAATACGTTATTGCCAAACCAGAATTTTAGGAAATAAGAAAAACTCAATCAATACTTCAGAAGTCAGAAAAGGGGGGAATCAAAGAATAAGACATGGAAAAGCTAAGAATAAGATAACAGAAATAACTAAGTATATGAATGAATACATTATTTTAAACAGAGTAAACTCTCCCAATTTAGAAAGGATGCTTAGGCTAGGAGGAATATTAGAATTAAAAGAAAATTAAAATTAATTCCACAAAAATCAACATCAGTTAGAAGGGTGCTATTGTTTCTCTTAAAGAGCTGGAGCAGTGAGCAGAATGGTTTTTAACACCCCGGTGGCCGTAACAATCCCGTAGACAGCTACAACCGTTCTGGACTCCCTGATTCACCAAGTTTTACAAGCGGCGAGTGGCCTCCAAATTCCACAGAGCAATGAGGTTTGTTCTTTGGAGAATCAATGAATTTATCTGCAATAGAAAACAACTTTATATTCTCCCCCCCCCCTTTTTTTTTTTAGAGAAGCTCTTAACAGGACAGTGATTCAAATAAAGTGTGGCTCTTAAGACACTGGAAAGACTTCTTGATGCTAATGTAAAAGCAATGATTCACAGCGACCTAGGGAGCTCCTTCCTTCACCAAAGCAGCAAAACCAGCCGTGTTACCAGGCGCTCCAGCGGTTTTCATGACAAGCCACGTTTCACTGTTTGATCTCTATGGTCTTTCCCGTTTCTAAGATGGGTTCGCAAAACAATTCTTGATGGCATCAGCATGCTCTGAAAGGACAAAAAAGAGAACTAGCTTCACTAAGAAGCATCAGAATTCCATTCGGGTACATGCTGAAAGAAAACAGCATTACTTTCACATAAAAATTCCTTTAAAGCCTTGACTTGAGAGACAACAGGAAGAAGAATGTCACCGAAAGAGGCCTTCATTGTTCCGCTCCCGGTCATGAACCATCCAGAGTTCAGAGAGCTTCACCAAGGCCTCTCCTATCATATCACTAATCGTGCTTACAAGATTTTGTAAAATAAGGCTTTTGTGTTGGGGTGAATCTCTCCTATCATATCATTAATCTTGCTTACAAGATTTTGTAAAACAAGGCTTTTGTGTTGGGGTGAAAACAGATTTAGGGAAGGTTCTAGCCTTTTTCAAATTAAGCCACCTTCTTAGCAAAACAGTGCCCACTGTCCAGATACTTCCTGGCTGGGCAGACATAGAGGCTTCTCCAGCTTTGTTGGCTCTGGCTTCTATTAGCAAGAACCTTGCCAGCAAGAAAAAGCATTGTATCTCTGCATACTCAGTCTTTTGAGCAAGATCAGAGGACACACAAGTTTTATCCTACTTTCTTTTTCTTTTCTTTTTCATTGTATTTTTAAAATATATTTCCATTTAAACGAGACTCTGCATAAATACGATGGCATGGTAAATTTTCCTTAATTCTTATCCATGAAAAACTGGTATATCTCCATATGTAGCAACAATGAAAACTGAACATAAACTGCTTATACTTCATTTGCCCATTTTTTATTGGGTTATTTGCCTTCATATTATTATTATAAGAGTTTATATATTCTGGAGACAAGTCCTTTTTAAGGTATATGTTTTACAAATATTTTCTCGGTGTGACTCGTGTTTTCGTTTTCCTGATGACATTTTTCAGTAAGCAAAAGGTTTCAATTTTAATAAAGTTGATGATCAGTTTTTTAATTTTACATTTTGTGCTTGTGTCCTAACAAAGAAATCTTTCAGCCCTGCATTTTCTGTTTCTATTTCATCTATCTGTTCACTGCAGTCAAGCTGTGTTAGTCGACAGGACCCTTTACATCTCAGGACAGCTGGGCCTGGACCCTTCCAGTGGACAGCTTGTGCCAGGAGGGGTGAAAGAAGAAGCTAAACAAGTAGGTCATTTTCCACATTTGATGTTTTCTTCCCTATTACTTTTTAATTTTGAGGAGTATTAAAAACCCACTTGGCTGATTTGTTTTAGATAAATTACCAGATAAATGCTTTTTAAATTACTTACTGATTGATTTAAGACAATTGCATGTCAGTAGAAAAGGCGAAAAATTAATTTTTAAAAATTGATTTTAGAAAGAGAAAGGGGGGGAGAGGGAGAGGGAGGTGGAGAGAAAGAGAGAGAGAGAGAGAGAGAGACAGACAAACATCTATTTGCTGTTCCACTTGTTTATGCATTTATTCGTTGATTCTTTTTTTTTTTTTTTTTTTTTTTTTTTTTGTTTTTTTTTAATATATTTTTTATTGATTTTTTTACAGAGAGGAAGGGAGAGGGATAGAGAGTTAGAAACATCGATGAGAGAGAAACATCGATCAGCTGCCTCCTGCACATCTCCTACCGGGGATGTGACCGCAACCCAGGTACATGCCCTTGACCGGAATCGAACCTGGGACCTTTCAGTCCGCAGGCAGATGCTCTATCCACTGAGCCAAACCGGTTTCGGCTATTCGTTGATTCTTGTATGTGCCCTGACCAGGGATCGAACTTGCAACCTTATCGTATTGAGCTACCCGGTCAGGGCAAAAGTTGGAAATTTAATGAATCATTTAACAACCAACCAGTAAAACAAATATACAAACAAAAAGATTATTCCTTCCAAAGTGACTTTAAATCTGAATTATTGGCTGTTAACTAAACTTATTATGGTAATCATTTCACAATAATACTTCTATCAAATTATCATGTTATACACCTACAACTAGTACAATGTTATAAGTCAATTATATTTTAATAAAACTGGGGGTGGGAGCCCCTGAATTATTGAAATCAGATAGCACCTTGCCACTTCCATAAGGATTGGGAAATTTTTTTTATCAGGGCCACTGACGCACATAAACAACCTCACTACCACAGAAGCAAAAGTCAGCATTTGTTAGTAAGAGAAAAATATCAAAGATTACATGCAGTATGTTTTCTAAGTAATACTGGGGAATACAGTTTAATCCAATAAGTGGAATTAAGTTATAATTTAATGCATTCACTGAGTCATTTGTAATATCCATAAAGATCCAGTTAAATAATTATTTTTTTAAAAAGCTTCCTAAACTGGTCTGCCTTTTTAATTTTTTAAAAATATAGTTTTATCGATTTCAGGAAGGAAGGGAGAGGGAGAGGGAGAGAGAATAGAAACACCAATGCTGAAAGAGAATCATCATTGACAGCTGCCTCCTGCATGCCTCCCACTGGGGATCGAGCCCACAACCCTAGGCATGTACCCCAACCTGGAATCAAACCAAAGCCTCCTGGTTCATAGGTTGATGTTCAACCACTGAGCCACACTGGCTGGGCAGTTAAATAATTCTTATAAGGGAATCTCTTCTTGACCTTCCTCCAATTGAATGATCTGCCTGAAATGGGATGAACCATGATCTCCTTTTGTGAATAAAAAGTCGCTTCCTCAGTGCTAGAATGTGTGAAGTTCAGTAAGCTAAAACAGAAATAATTTCTGAGGTTCCTATGCTCTATCACTTTGATACCATAAGTATGAGCTAACAGGCATTAAAACATGTTTTCTTTTAAAGTAATATTTGATTTTGAAGAGTTCTTTTCCCTCTTTCTCAAAAAATCAATAAGTATTAGTAAATTATATATGTTTGGCACTCTGGCCTTTGGAAAAACATCAATTTTCCACCTTTGTCCTTATTATTTTGTCAATTCATTCTTCCTCTCTACTTTACTAGTCACATTGTAATATTTGATGATATTTTTTGTTCTTTAAAAAATAATTAATCTAAATAGGTAATACATAAGGCAAAAAATTTAAAAGCTATAAAAAGCATATGCAGTGAAAAGATATATCCCACCCTTAGTCCCCCCTCTCCCCAGTTTCCTTCATTACTGTTCTTTTTTTTTAAATATATTTTATTGATTTTTTTTTTTACAGAGAGGAAGGGAGAGGGATAGAGAGTTAGAAACATCGATGAGAGAGAAACATCGATCAGCTGCCTCCTGCACACCCCCTACTGGGGATGTGCCTGCAACCAAGGTACATGCCCTTGACCGGAATCGAACTTGGAACCCTTCAGTCCGCAGGCTGATGCTCTATCCACTGAGCCAAACCGGTTAGGGCTCATTACTGTTCTTTATACTAGTATGTCCTTCCACGGACAGCCATTGCCTACTCTAGCATAAATGTACACACACACACACACACACACACACACTTATGACTTATTGTGCATGCTATTCTGCATCTTGGTTTTATTTCATCATGTAACTCTTTATGTGTTGACCTTTTCATATTAATTTAGTTGTATGGATCTAGTGTGATTTATTTTAGATTTATTTAGAGGTGGCCTAGAAAGAGTATAATTTCCTAAAAGGGGGACATTTTTCTGCAACATAAGCTATTTAAGGAAGTATTAGCAAAAGATGATTGATTGGATGGAATTACAGCTTTAATGTAACATCCATGCCTTAGGCCTTCTTGCCTTGCTTCACAGGCTCTTACCAACATAGGTGAAATCCTGAAAGCTGCAGGCTGCGACTTCAGTAATGGTGAGCAACTTGGTATTACTCCCGTTTCTGTTGGGTATTTCTTTGCTCTCTTTGGAGAACACATGACATCCCGTAACATGTCATGCCATATCTTTGTTGCTTATTAAAATAGTTTTAATTTCAGTCCCATTTTGATCAAGACAGTCATAGAACTATGCACTGTTTTTTAAGTAATGTTTTGGATTAGACCAAAAAGCTAACCCTAATGACAATGTATGTATCTTCTAGTGGTCAAAACAACTGTTTTGCTGGCTGACATAAATGACTTCAGTACTGTCAATGATATCTACAAACAGTGTAAGTAATTCGGCTTTATTGCCATTTTCCATTTTAAATAGAAATGAATGTATAAGCTTCAATGAGTGTGCATTATGAATTAAGAGAGGAGATGCTAAAAAAAATGGTCATAGATCTTGTCCTAAAAGAACGGATAGTCTGATTGGACACATATAGTGTGCCTCCATGAGAAAATCCAAGACATTTATTTATATTCTATTCCCTAGAATAATATACTACAGGCCTATAAATCCATTTTCCTAAAGCTTAATTTTGTTACGCCCTTATCAGGCTTTTTAAGCCCTCCTAATGATTTTTGAACATAGATTGTATTTATTATCGCTATGATACGGGCTAGCCACCGTCTCTCTCTTGGCTCTCAGAATCATCCGCTGTTTAGTGACTGAACATTTCTGTGCGTTGGCTTCCCAGATATAAAATAGGGATAAAACCTAATAGGGCTGTTGGAATGCCTAAGAGAGTCAATACAACATGTAAACACATTAGAACAGATGCCAGTGTGTTGTACACACTTAGTAAATGTTATCTATCTATTAACATTGTTGTCTTCATGGAGAAAATGGGTGTCCCTACCAACTGGTGAGATGAGACTAAGGTGTAACTTGGGAAAAGCATCATTGCGTACTCTGTGCTGAAGAAATGGCTGGAGTAAACCGAAGTTACAGACTCGGTGCCTGCCAGAATCGCTGGGGATGGGCAGCTCTTCCCCATTTAGATAATTGTTTTATAACTTTAAAAACAACCCCCTTCACATCAAATAAGATCAAAGTGAGTATTTTCACTTTTCCCCCCGAAAACTAAGACATTTTAAAAAGTACTAGAATATCGCATAGGACTCATATGGCAAAATATTTTACCAAACAAACACGAGTGTGAGCTCCTTTGTCTGGTGTCGCACGTATCTAAGAACCAAGAAGGCTGTGAAGCGCTTCCCAGAGCTCAGGTTCTGCAGGGCTGGGTACCAATACAGCATCTGAGAGCTAAAACGCAATTCTGTTACATTTAGATTTCAAGAGCCATTTTCCCGCGAGAGCTGCTTACCAGGTTGCTGCTTTGCCTAGAGTAAGTACACCTTAAGCTGTCTAATGTACACAATTTTAAATTTCTACACTGCTTTCTGAAGAGAACAAACTAAGCACTGTAACAGGAAACTCCTTTAAAAGAAGCAGCAGTTCCAGCTTTCCAGGGACTTAAGGTCTAAAAGGAAACACTCAGTATTACATGCATAGGGGATGGGGGAGATTAAGAAACTTAAGAAAATTAAAAAATTAGTCTTAAAAATTCAGAAAGTTAAAAATTAAGGCCACACATGAACACAACACAATCAATAAAACCATATTTAACAACAAAAAGTTTAATGTTAAAAATGCTGTATTGCTATATGTTTTTAGTAGGCATTATGGCACTCTCCTAATTCGTAAACAATGACCTTCACATTGCTCCTTCCTTTTCCTCACAGGGAGGCCGTGTTGAGATTGAAGCCGTAGCTGTCCAAGGCCCTCTCACATCAGCATGACTATAAGTGGGCCCGAGGTTATTGAGTCTGGAATTCTAATAATTTTTGTGAATTAACATCTTAATTTTTACAATCGATGTTGGAAAGTATAAGACTGACTAAAATATCTGAAGTATTATGGAAATACCATATAATAAGGGCAATTGAACATGAATTGAAAATGAGGTGATGAATCCGGTTAGTGATATAAATTTCATTTATGCACACTCATAAGTGAGAAAAAAAGAGTATAGCTAATTCAGTTAAATCCTTTTAATTTAATGTTGTGAAATAGTCAATTCTCATGTCAGATATATGATTCTGCTTTTACTTGAGTAAAATTAAAAATTTAAGTTTGAATGGTAGACATAAAGGAGAAGAAAGTGGACCAAAATTCTATATAGCTAATATTTTTCTAATGGAAATAAAGTAGACATGCAGATTTTCCATGGTGTGATTCTGTTCTCTTATTTTTTTTTTTTAACAGTTTAATTTGTACATTAGAGCACATTACCTGATTAAAGATATGGGACCATGAAGTTAAAATGCCAACTATTTTTTTCTCAAAACTTATTTCTGACTTCGTCTGAAAAGGCTACATTCAGCATGATCCCAACTGTATGACATTCTGGAAAAGGCCAAAAAATAAAAAAGATTAGTGGTTGCCAAGGATTTGGGGGGCATGGTAGGTGAGGGATGCATAGGTGGAGCACAGGAGTTGTTAAGGCAGGGAAACTATTCTGTATGATACTGTAATGGTGGATACGTGTCATTATGCAATTGTCAAGAACCACGGAATGCACAACCCCAAGAGTGAAGCCTAATATAAACCAGAGACGTCATCCATTGTAACAAATGTACCACACTAATGAAGGATGTTAGTAATCAGGGAAACTGCACAGTGGGGAGGAGGAGAATATTGGTACACTCTGTAAAAATGCCCTATAACATTTAAGTCTTTTTGTTAGGGACTTCAGTAATGCAGTCTGTGGTAGAGCCTTAAGTGAACGGTTTCCCCTTCCATTGAAAAAATGTTGCTCATTCCCCTGACCCATGTTCCTAAGTGGTTAGAGCATCAGCCCGCTCACCAAGGGTGGTGGGTACAATTCCTGGTCAAGGGCACATACCTGGGTTGCTGGTTTGCTCCCCACCCCCAGTTGGGGGTACGTGCAGGAGGCAACCAGTTGATATGTCTCTCTCTCACATCAATGTTTCTCTTTCTCCCCCTTCCCCACCCCCTTCACTGTCTCTGAAAAGCAATGGGGGGAAAAAATATCCTCATGTGAGGATGAACAACAACAACAAAAAGTGTTGCTCATAGTTAAATGGAATCTCCTAAAAACATAAAGACAGGAAAATCAATAAGTGACAAACATCTCCCCCAACAAAATGTGCTTAGAAAAATATTGACAGGTGATGAAATTTGTTGAGGATAACACCTGGAATTAAGTTACCCATCAAACCCTGTTTATTATTAACTATTTCATACTTATCAAAGAAGCTATTCATGTGTACTCAGGGTTTAAAAAAGGACAACCACCAATACTTTCGACGCCCAGCATAAGCCATTCTCAGCCCATTTTCCTCACTTTTCCCAAAATTGATCAACCTCTGAGCAAGACTGACTTAAAAAAAGAAGAATCCTAAATAAGCAATCTTAGATGAAAAGGGGCACTTGAATATAGCCAGAAGAGATGAAAAAGATGCCTACAGATATGAAAATTTAGATGAAGTGCACAAATTCTACAATGTAAATGACTGAAGAAAAACTGACTGAAGAAAAAACTAGAAAATATGAATGTTCCTTTTACCATGAAAGAAATGGAATCAGTAGTTTAAATATTTTTTTCAAAGAAAACACCAGGCCCAATTTTATAGGTAAACTCTATTTTTTTTTTTATAGAGTTTACCTATAAAATTGGGCTTGGTGTTTTCTTTGATTAAAAAAATAAAATAAAATAATAGAGCCAGGAAATCAGATCCTCTGTCTAGGCTGGGCCTAAGGGGCATACTATGGATAGGTCATGACTTCAAATTCAAACCCTCGAGTTAAAGAGCTGGAAATAAAGTGCTGGTACCCAAGCTGTTGGCTTGTTAGTGGCTGGGTTGGTGAAAAGGAACACTTACGTTAGCCTTTCAAACATTCAGAGAGCAATCTCTTTGAAGTGTGTTATCATTAAATAAATGATAAAAAGTATATAGGTAAACTCTATCAAACATTCAGGGGTAGATATTTACAATGATAAACTTTTTTAAAAAGTTGTTTTATTATTTTTTAATCCTCACTCAAGGACATGCTGAGAAAGAGGAAGGGAGGGAGACAGAGAGAGAGAGAAACATCAATGTGAGAGAGAAACATCGATCAGTTTCCTCACATACTCACCCCAACTGGGGATTGAACCGGAAACCCAGGTTTGTGCCCTGACCAGTGATGTACTGGGGCTGACACTCCCTCCCAACCCAAAGCCACACAGTGCAGCTACCATAGAAGCCTCTTTTCTTGTCACTGATTAATATTTTTTAAGTGTTTGGAATCAGGGTTGCATAAGTCAATTCAATATAATATCCATAACTTTTTCATAAATGTAGATAATAGTATGAATGATATGTTGCTACAGTTACTTTTATTTTATTAAGAAAAATTTGACAACTATCTATATTCTACAAAGAAAAAAAAAACAAGGCAGATGTCAAACCAAAATTAGTATCCATAAGTGGCTTCTCAGAACTCTTATCCTAGAAACTGTTGAGGCTTCCAGATCTCTGTGCTCAACAGGTGATAGTGTAGCATGTTTATTCATGTCAGTAGCACATTATTAAGCTGAAAGGGCAATTTAGATTAATAGAATATGGACTGGCCCTTCTTCTACTTTCAAAAGTTATTAAAGCCTGGATTTGATGTTTGGAGACTTCTTTTATTAGGCACAGAAATCATGATATTGTTAGCTTGCAATATCCCAAATATTGTCCAATAAGTTAGCCGAGTGGTATTTCTGAAATAAAGCCAAAGGCCTCCAATTTTACTCTGTGTGAATTAATACCACCACGTAGTTCCCTAACTTTAGTTGGTAGTAACAAGACCTGAAAAGAGAAATTACACACCTGTCAGCTGCTCTCTGAAATTACACTGATTCTGTTTCTGCGATTAAAACCTTGAAATTATAACCAGATGCTCATTAACTTGATAAGCTCTGGGGGGGAGAGGAGCTGATGAAGTGTTAGATTCAATGACATCCTGTAAGTAAATGCTTTCAACTATTCAGACATAGCCATGCCTTGCTGTTTGGTGTGAGGAAACAAAGAGAAGAGGATCATTCTCCTTTTACCGTACAGATGTGTGTGGGCTACATGAATGGCTTTATGGTGGCTTTTGTGGAACAATTCAGAATTAACTGGGTCACCACATTACCTTTATAAAATTGAGATGCTTATAATATTAGATGCTCTAACAAGCTATTGCAGTTTCCAAATGAGCACAGGTGTAAATCCTACTAGGATTATTGGACCATGACCATCCAACACTCTTTAGTTAAATGTGGAAAAAGCCATTTTCCTTTAAAAGCCATTCATAATCCAAAAGCAAGTGTGCAATAAAGTGTTTGTTAAAAGCGATGTGGGTGTTTTGACTGTTCAAAGGCTATTAGCTATTCTAGGAGCTCTGACTCCAAAGTCTAAATGAGAAAAGCAACAAGGTCACAGGTAGACCACATGCTCCTATCCTGTGGGTCCCCCAGGAGGCAAGATACAGAGCACTTCCTGTCGACAGTGTTGGAGTCTGGGCGGGAGAGTTCCCCGGTTTGCAATTGCACCCTCTGCTGGTAAATGCAAAGGTTCTCTCCCTACTGGGGCTGCTCGCTGGCAAATCATTTGCTCACCGTTTCCCTCCAGTCAGGAATAGAAAATACTAAAATTATCTTGGTATAACACAAACTGGGCTACAAAGTGGCTATACAGCACCCAGGATTAGAAAATCCAGCCCTGATGATAGTTGTTCTATTCATTCATTATGAACAGCTCAAGCCTTCTGTCCAACTTGTACATTTTTAATCTGGGGGCAAAATTGATCATCTCTTGTCAGAGTCTGGGGACTTAGGACCAGAATGCACTTTGCTATGCTAAGTCTATCTGTCTTTGGCAAAAGAGAAACAATCTAACATAGGAAAGGATAGATCAGTGGTTTTACAAGCGCTTCTCACAACGCAAGGGCTATGTAAATTGTCATTTGTGTTTTACGATGTGGATATGTAAATATACACTTATATTTTAGCATATACATATAGCCTGGCATAGACATGACCTTATGGAAGTATACACAAGAAACTTTATTACCTCTTTGTAGAAGGACTAAGGGATGTGGGAGGGAGAAGTTCACTGCCCATTTTATACCTTTCTGTATTGAGTTTTACTATAGACATTCATTACCTTAATTTTGTTTTTAAAAATTAACAGATTGCCCTGACCAGTTTGGCTCAGTGGATAGAGCGTCGGCCTGTGGACTCAAGGGTCTCAGGTTCGATTCTGGTCAAGGGCATGTACCTTGGTTGCAGGCACATCCCCAGTGGGGAGTGTGCAGGAGGCAGCTGATCAATGTTTCTCTCTCATTGATGTTTCTCACTCTCTATCCCTCTCTCTTCCTCTCTGTAAGAAATCAATAAAAATATATTTTTAAAAAAATTAACAGATTACTTATATGGAATACTTCAACTTTGAACTAGTCAAATATTATAGAACATTTTCATTTTCTTTATAAGTTTTGAATTAAAAACTTAATATTATCTAAAAGAATAAGAATAGTTTCTAAAAAGGTGTTAGTAACTACATTAAAGACCAAAGACAAAAGTATAAAAAGTACCATAAATTTATACAAAGTTCCAAATTTTTCTGAGAATGATTTTAGTCATTAATGGAAAATAATGGGATTACTAAAACATTTGAAAACTTGTACATTACAACTATATAATAATGTTTTTGAGAAAGAGTTCTTTCAAGCATGAGTTCTGAACAGATCTCTAACTGTTACATATTGAAAAAATCCACATTTACTTAATAGGCATAAAATCCCTTTATGCCTGTTATGTAAATGAATCCTACTATTTCGGTACTTGATAAAACTATAATTCCACTTTTTAAGGTGATCATTCATATTTTACACTAAGCTTTGATATTTTCTACTTACTAGATATCTATATAAAAATAACTTTTGGTCATGAAAAACATCTTTGCATTACAAAATGTAGCTTGAAATATTTTTATAACAGTTCCAATTTATATAACTTTCTGACCTAAAAATATTGCTCTTTTTGGAACTACACCAAATAGCTTGTTACTGAGCTTGAGCCAAACCGGCTAGGGCTGAAATACTTTAAAAAGTCAATTAATTGCCCTAACCGGTTTGGCTCAGTGGATAGAGCGTCGGCCTGCGGACTGAAGGGTCCCAGGTTCGATTCCGGTCAAGGGCATGTACCTTGGTTGCGGGCACATCCCCAGTAGGGGGTATGCAGGAGGCAGCTGATCGATGTTTCTCTCTCATCGATGTTTCTAACTCTCTATCCCTCTCCCTTCCTCCCTGTAAAAAATCAATAAAATATATTTTTAAAAATTCAGTTAATTTAGAACACCTTTCATGTCAATCAAAGGGTAAGATCAAATGAAATACCTCACATGAATGTAAAATCTACACTTGATTCAAAATGGCACATGGAAGATGTGTAGCCTTTCGCTGTGAAAACGCCTCATCTCGCAGCAGCACCAGTTTGAATTCCTTTGACAAGGATTTTGTTAACATTTTTAACACAACATGATGAATAAGGCTCTACAGTAGTAGATAGACTCTAGAAGAGAAGGTAATGAGATGACATACTTTCTAAGGTTTTTACCAGCCTTTCTGTTGTAGGAAAGACATCCTAGGTATAGTTTGCATCATTTTGTTGTTCATTCTTATTCCACAGTAATTATAACTCTGTGACTTTATTATCCTGAGCTCCCTAAAACTTGCTAACTCCCTCCTCCAGCCACCAATACCTAAAGGTTTATATTTTCATTTTAGGGTCTCATTTTCTAAACTGAATTGACCCATTGCCACAATGAACACCCTCAAACTCTTTACTGATCATAAACCCTAGTTGTTATTGGCTCTGGCTAGTGTCATTAAGGTGAGATCTGTAACCACAAGCTTCCCTACGTCTTTCTGTCCTCTGTGATGACACTGTGTCCATTCACCCTTCCATCACCATACCTATCTAGGTGGCTGCTGGAAGATCCACAGCTCCTCCTGTTTCTTCTCCTTTTGTTTCAGCTCTTTCACTTACTTTCTCCATCTCTGTTCCAACCTCTTCGCCTGTCTCACCTGGAAAAGTAACCACAGGAGATATTAAGAGATGCTTATTGAGCATTAACAATAAAGTACACACAGCTGGTTGCCAATGGGGACAGATTTTTGTTGTTGTTAATCCTCACCCAAGAATATTTTTTCCATTCATTTTTTAGAAAGAATGGAAGAGAAGGAGGGAAAGAGAGAAACATCGATGTGAGAGAGATACATCGATTGGTTGCCTCCTGCACATGCCCCAATAGGGAATATAACCCTGAACCCTTCAGTGCCCAGGCCGACACTCAACCACTGCTACACTAGCTATGGCTGGGGACAGCTCCTACTCTTTAGGTCTAAACAATACATTTTTTTGGTGGTTTCAAGAAAGGTGATCACCCTGGTTCTCTCAGATCCTCTGAATGCCAATAACAACACTTCTGAATCTGGACACTGCACATACCAATCTATTTCCCTAAGAAGTCGGTTTGGACAACACTGGCCCCATGCTCATGGGTGGAGCCAAGAAGCAGCTGCCTCTTCGATAGAGACCATGTTCCTATTGACCAAAGTCCCTGTGAGCTCCGCGTGACCTTCCATGTGCCGCTCACTTCACTCCCTCTCATTATCCTAGGCCCCAAAGCTTGACTTTGCCAGCCCTGGTCTAACAAATATCTGCTATTTCTTGTTTCTCCCTTGTTGCTCCCAGAGTGCTTCTACATATCTTCATCAAAGTGCTTATCTCAATAGATTGTGGTAATCTGTTTAAATTCTGCCTTCTTCCCACTAGACGGTGACCCCCTTGAGAACAGGAGCAATCTCTTACTCCTTCTGAACCCTAGTGCCTCGCGTATGATTAAGCACAAAAACCACTGTGCTAATAAATGAAATAATTAAGCAACGGAGGGATAAATGCTTCACTTATAGTGTGAAGCTAACATTAGCCAAAATGTAAATCATGCCCCAGAAGAAATGTTATTTTTTATAATAACTCCAATATAGGCACCATTTATTTTTCTCTGGTAAGATACACTTAAAAAACACCATATGCCCAAACAATACATTTCCTCTAGTATTCTCTTAAAGGTAAAAAGCGTATAGGAGGACAAGGGCAGAGTAATTTTCTAAGGATAAAACTGGCGAAGATAAAAATTACACTGTAAGATCCATTATTTGTGTGTTCTTTCCTTAGGAGGTCAATTCCTCCACTAACCATCTATTCATATTTCCCTTGGAACCTCACACCTCACATGGGACCTGATGAACAGTAATCATGGGAAAGTCCAGAAATTTTAACATGTTGGCTTCAATATTCGGTTCTCTCCAATGATGAAACTCTAGGTTAAAAATCTGGACACAGAATGTGCTTTAGAAAAGTTTGCTGGAAAGCCAAACGCCTGTTTTCCAGATATGGAAACCTTTTTGACTTGGGTCAAACGAACTTCGACCACCTGTAATAGATACTTCAGTGTATGTAGAAGCCACATCCTTCCCCCCCACCCCCCACCCCCGCCCCCCGCCCCAGGATGACCTCTTATGAAGCCCATCTAAACATCCTGAATCTCTAACAGCATCTCTTACCTTCAATGTTGTGGTCCACCTTTTTGGTGTGAACTTTCCTGACCATTGCCATGTTTGTCCCTGTTTCCAGAGTTCCTGCTGGACGCTCCACGCTTCCGACTATTCCTTCAGGTTGAATCTGCTCCATGTTTACCAGGCCTTCAGGAGTTTTAGGAATCAAATCGTTCTTTACAGCTGCTTCCACAAGCTGACTTCCTTCCGATATTTCCAGAAATCCTTTCCCTTTGGACATTGTTTCTAGAAGTTGGGATTGCTCATCCCTCCCCAGTGTTTCTTGAAGTTGATGTTCCTCGGCTGTTTCAACAGGCTGATGTCCTTCCAATATTTCTGGAGCTTCAGTCTCCGTGGGAACGGTGTCTAGGAGTTGGGGCTTTGCTGGAGGTTGTGACTCTCTACCTGCTTCCAGAGGTGGGATTTTTCCAGCTCTTCTTAGAGGTTTCATCTCTCTGGCAGTCTGTGGAGTCTCGGTGTCTCCTACGGCTCCAGGGGAGTCCCTCTCGCCGGCTGTCCTCAAAGGCTGATGCCTGGCTTCTGTTCCTAAAGGTTCCGTCTCGGCATTTCCTTCTAAAGGCTGGGCCTCTGTCACTGCTTCCACATCTTTCTGTCCTCCTGCTCCTGGAGTTTCATCTTTGCCATCTTGCTGAAGTGGCCCAGACTCCTG